GAGGTAATCGGCTCGACAATGGACTAAGTTCCGAAGGAGTTGCTTGGGGGGGGGTGGGGGGGGGGGTGTTAGAAGCAGCTCCTGCAGTAGTGAAACTCACGCCAGCTAGCGTGGAGCAAACAGGAGACACTGCCATCTGATATGAAGAGTGATGAAAAAAGGAAGCCAGTGCGCACTCGACGTTCTAGTCTCAGTCCAAAATTTTCCTTAAAGCTAGCAAAATGTCTGTGAGTGGGTTTCTTATCTAACCTTCTAACAAGATCACAAGGCCGTCTCGCGCTATTGGCATCGAGAGCCCAAGTCTATGGGGCCATGCAAAACCGCTGTAGAGTTATCTAGGGCGACCACTCATGGTCGCAAAAAATAATATCGCCGCGTCCTTTGTAAGCGAGTCTCGGAGTTGACCGGAAGGGTAATCTGACTATCCAACTAGCTACTAATACGAGCTGTTGCCTCTTCCAACAGCTCATCAAGAAGAGATATCTAAGACGGGCTCTTACGCGTGCGCGCCTGTTGCTGAGGGACAAGCACAAGATGGAGCGGTTAATGGCTTGCGCTGAGCACGTTAATCTAGGCGCAGGTGGACGAAGAATTGCACAAGGCCTTTGTCGTGACCACTTTCAATACCCTAAACAAGACGCTTGTTACGTTGCAGCTCCAGATGCCGCTCTTTATGCGGCGTGGAGGAGGAAACGATTTCCGTATCACGCATATCAGGAAGGACCATATGCTGCGCGAAGGAAGACTACTGCTTGCTTTACCCTGCGAGGTGCAATTGTACTTCAACATAGTCGCAGTTATTGTTTTGTCGCTGATACAACGTTATTTGACCTGGTGTGGCGGAACAAATACGCCTTTATATTAAGTTTAAGTAAATGGATGGCCTTTTCCATAACTGATATTTCAAAACGAGGGAGCACCTCACCATTTTTTTAATCGCTCATTATTTTCCGATTCGTATGGGGAGAAATGTGCAATATTTTATTCGCTCATTATTCGCCGAATGGAGGTATCAAGGTACTAGTAGTAGTGGTAATATGTGCGATTTATTTTTACGGTCATTATTTTTTTAATGGAGGTAGTACCTTTACTAGTCGCGATTATTTTATTCGGTCATTTTTTATCAAATGGATGTATTAGTACATATACTAGTAGTAGCAGTAATGCTGTATGTACTACAGTCGTCGTATATTATCTACCGATTTTTTTTAAGCTCAGTGGTCATAGTCTAACTTGCGATTCGTAGAGATCCTGTGATATAAAACAGAATTAAAGGTAGCGAAGATGCACCTAATTTAATATTTCACCAACTGCAGCGAGTCCTCATGCACTCGCAGATCGCTGTACTAAAATTGCAGCTCATGTCACGTCTAAAAGTCAGCTGACCACTTCGCTTTGAATAGTCTCTTGTACCTTTCCATTATCTCACGTGTATCACCTTCGTGCATCCGAGGGAAAATGGTCAACGGGCTCAACTTGCTCTCAAGCCACGTAGAAAGCAGCAGCGATGCCAAACTTTCAGCCAAAGCTTTTGTGGTCGGGTCGCTCTTGGCATCGACGAGCATTTCTACTATGACACCATCACCGAAATGACGCCTGAGCGTATCGAACAATGTTGCTTTATCCCCTGGGTGTTTTATATTGAACTCATTCATTAACCGAATCCAGAATTTCAGTATCGGATCCGAAAGACTCGGTCGAATGATAGGTGTAGCCAACCTTCAAATAGGGAGTCGGGTGTACGCTTATGTGCCCCCCACTCCGCGAATAGCTGATTCTTCAGCTTTGTGGCAACGTCCTTCGTCCTATCAATATCCAGTCCAGTCTCAAGCACCTTTGCCAGCTCTCAGTGGCCAAGGCCTATGGATAGTGTGATCATTAGTGACATCTTGTCGGGGTTGCGTCCATGAAATTCTTTCGCATACTTGAGCCAGGGAGTTAAGAGCGGACTCGTGAGTAGATTATGCTCGCTAAGCCGTAGGAAGTCGAAGACGTCCAGCGCGGGAGTATTCTTGTCCTTCCAGCTCTCCAACCTCTGCGCGTGTAGCTTAAGCGCTATCGCTTTCGTGTGTTCATCCTCCATACCAGCATCAAGTATACGTGAAAGCCAAGCGTTGCCATATTTATCGTCTCCGTATTGGGAAGTTAGCGCCGTGGCCGCTGGTTTTGCTTCGCGTGGGTTCTTCTGGTTAAAATCATCGACGCACTTAAGCCATACTTGAAATTTCGGGTTTGCCAACGCGTTGCCCTCGACTGACTTCAGCTTCATCTTGCTAAACACGTCGTCTGCCGATTTTCCTGAGGCGAGCCAAAGCTGTAGCTGTGCTTTCACCAGCATTGAGCTGGCAATACCAGAGCCAGGGATTGCGTCAAACTTGAACACTCTCTCTTCCTCGGTAGTCTGGGATTTATCTGCAATGATGCCCGATCGCCTCGAGGCACCCGTACCAACCTCGGTTTTGTCCGCGTTATCGAGAGAGCTATACTTGCGAGGAGCATGGCTATAAGTAGCTGTGTAACTTTGAAAAAGCTCATGAGGAGACGATTCCAAGCTGCCTTGGAGCTTTGCAGAGAGAAGTTTAATAAGGTGGCATCTGCGGCGGCGATAGCATAGGCATTACCACTACTGTACTTCACGTACCAGTACAGACCAGTTCTTCCACTAGACTTCGGGTGGGATTCTGAGGATATCAATTTTGAAGCACTCTTCCGCATACAAACACGTGCAAATTCTTGTGATTACTTTACTGTATCATAAGCACTGCAGTCTCGCTAAACATTGGTACTAGTACTGGTACAGTACAGATTCTGGAATCGTTGTGCAACGATGAGTGGGAGATACAGTTGGGACGAGAAAAGATTCAAATATATCAGTGTAAAAGAGACCATACATACCGGTATGTGATGCTAAAACGTATGGCAACTGTACCCAGTGTCGCTCGTGAATTACCGGTGTAGTACACCGGTACACCGTGTACACATTTATACAATCAAGATGTATCCGGAATTGGAGAACCGTGATGCCAAGTGAAACTATAGTACAGTACTCCTCTCAATTCCGTCCTATAATAGCTATCAGTTCATGGATTCTCTGCGTCTACAGGAAATGTATGATATCCGGCCCCTCCACCTCGTGCTACTCAGCGCTGGCCGAATTAAACTACGTGACCGTGGGAAGCTCTGGATATTATAGAAAGGATTCCGCTTCCTTATTGGCGAAGTCATTCAAAAAGTACTACAGAATAAACGTCCATTTCAAAACGATAGGAGCTGCACTTGTGAAACTTGGCTACACATTTCGCAAATGGCTCTACCTTCACATTATCCTCACAACCCCTCTTCTCGCCTCGAAGAAAAAAGTATTTTGGATTTTACTTTCCGTTTGGTGCTGATACCAACGATTGTATCTGGGTGTTGAGCTCTCTGGATTATATATCTAGAGTGTCCAGAGTTTTAAGAGGAGAGTCAAGATGGTGGGCTTTATTCTCTAACCGGTCATATCAGCTAGTATTTGAAACAGACCTGCTGTTTTTATCAGGTTTTATTTTAACCTATAACTAAATATCCTCTGTAAGGGTAACAGCACTGTAAATTACGATTACCCGAAGTAATTTAATCCGCGTGAGTGTTGTTCGAACAGCCTTTAGCTTTCACGTAGTGCAACAGACGCATTCGAAATACCATACCGGTATACCGAAGCGCGATCACAAGAGATATATTAGCGGTACCGTATTTGAGATCTCCTACTTCAGACCCAATATTTTTGAAGTTGTATTGTTGCAAAATACACAAGATCTGTACATGTACCGACGCATCTCTATCACGTATTATTTAAACAAAACAATTTAGTTATCAAGTTCTTCTTCGGGAACTACGAAGTTTTCTGTCGTGACGCGTATCCACAGCATGGCGCACTACGAGGCACTTCTTCCAGCAACCGTTGTAGCAGCTCCCAATCAGGTTCCCTCCACAACCGAAAGCTTGTAGGCGTATGAAATGGCAACGCGCTTGAACTTCTTGGGAGGCTTGCCAGTGCCAGAAATACGGGTTCTTCCTTTCCGTTGGCCGAGCGTGAGGGGAGTGCGCGCCATTGCGAATTTCTGGGTGGATAGTTACAGTTTAGCACGTTTTTTGTACTCTGAATTAGGAGATCTAGACTTGTGCGCTGTTCCATTCTCGATATGTGATTGGTTGGAGGGCAGTCTGAATTAGGAGATCACTCTGAAGTAGGAGATCTCAAATACGGTACATGACTGCAGTAGTAGCTTATGGTATCGCGTCAATAAGGAACGCATGGGAACTAATATCCTTGTAAGCAGTATAGAACAAATTGACAAGTACAGGCGCTTTGAGTGTTAAGTGAGGAGAGCGTGGGAACTAATATTCTTGTAAAGTTTGTACAGATCAAATTGAAAAAGTACCTTGATCTGGCACTTTGAGTGTGTTAAGCTCCTTGCTGACACTATACATGTAAAATCAATGGTGACGCAACCGCCCTTCACGCACAGTAGTGTAAAGCAGAGCTTCTCCGCGAAACACGGCTTTGTTTTAATTAGCGTCTGGATACTTATAGGGAGCTGTCAATGTTCACTCCAATATGTTTATGCAATGAGAGCTGTTTCTGGCAGAAGAAAGGCACCGAGTTGGTTATATGCAGCTGAGGGTGCTGGTCAGATCACTACATGTAGTCCTTGGACTCCCCCTAATAGGGAATAACTCTGAGCTTTTAATATAAACACCTTAATTCGTTACCAATCAAATGAAGAAGAGATTTGGACTTAAATCGCTTCAAATTAAAAATATAAAAAAGGGTTAACCCCACCGAGTGGCTGGTTATTGTTCCATAGGTTGACGCTGCTCCTTCAGTGTACAACAGACGGCTTCAGTGTGCACTCTGAGTGACCCCCACCGAGGCCAGCACGTCCGCATAGCTCTTACCTCCTTCCAGCTCCTTCTCCAGCTCAATAAGCTTGCCCACTCCGTCAATCATCGTCTGCACGAGCTCCACTTCCGACTTGCCGATACGAGCCTTGTTGGAGATATCCCACATGCCACCAACAGCAGCCGAGTGTTCACCAGCCGAGCCACGCGGTTGCAAGCCCAGAGGAGCGCACACCGCCTCGAGGGCGTGTGGGTCAGCCCCCAACTTCTCGAGCTTGACGAACATACTCGCACGTAGTCCCGTGCCCAAGTTGGACGGACAAGTTCCGAGGAACCCAAGGTGGTCGTTGTGCATGAAGCCATACCCGTTGGCCTTGATGCTCTCCTCCACAGCCGTCACAGCCTTGACCCAGCGTGTAAACACTTCGACAATGTTACCGTCACTTTGCATCGAGATGACACGCATGTGATCTTCTTCATTGGACCACACCAGGAACGTCTTCTGGTCGTTGTGGAAGATGCCACGTCCACTGGGCCAGTCACGTGCCGCTCCGGCACCGGTAAGTAAAGTGCCGCCACCGGGTTTTTGGAACAAGAAGTGGTCTTTCTGGAGCTGATCTTCCTCCTCCTTCGTCATGTTACTGAGTGGGTAATACTTGCCCTTGAGCTCGTCGGTTAAGGTGGACAACCCCGTGGCAATGAGGTTCTCCACCTCTAGACGCTCTGCACGCGTTGTCCCAGGCGGTAAACTGAGACCGCGAATGTTACGACCCGCACGCACGCGAGTGGACTGCACATAGGCGTTGTCGATCTTGTCGGCGTTGACAAGTTTCGACACGTCCATGTCAGTGTGGTGCTTGTCCTCCGACTTGAAGCCGTGCCAGCCTTCGATCACAGGGTCGTAGAGCTCTTTGAAGACGTCGTAACATTCCTCGTCACCTGCTACCACACCCACACCGAGGTGAGGGTTATCGATACCGGTTTGGATTGCCATATCCAGGGTGTAGCCCTTGCTGGAATGTTTGTCCTTCAACTTGTCATACAGTTCCTTAGTCAAGTTTTTGGCCATCAAGCTACGGTGCTTGGCAGTAAAGACGGGGTAGTTGTCTTCTTGCGACGGTAACACTGCAGTGCTCGTCGTCGACGCTACTAGTGGCGGCCCCGCATCAATGACAACGGGGGCAGCCGGTTCCGTGGGGATCAGAGCGTCAATTGACTCCCCGGCCACCAGCTTCTGCTCCATGGCAATGAGCAGCGTGATGCCGTTGATCATCGTCTGCACCAACTCCGCCTCGGAGTGGCCGATGCGCTGCTTGTTACTGACATCGTACACCCCTCCGACGGATGCGGAGTGTTCCCCGGCCGTACCACGTGGCTGCAAGTGCAGCAACGAGCAGATTTTTTCGAAGCGGGCTACATCTTCTGTCAATTTGGGTAACTTGACCATGACACTGGCGCGTAACCCTGTACCCAAATTCGAGGGGCACGTGCCGATAAAGCCCAAATGTTCGTTGTACATGAACTCTTTCCCCTTGGCCTTGATACTCTCTTCCACGCTCTTGATAGCACGACAGAAACGCTCGAACACGGCCCCGACGTCACCTCCGTCTTGCATCGAGATGACGCGCATGTGGTCTTCCTCGTTGCACCAGACCAAGAACGTCTTGTCGTTATTATGGAAGATGCCACGAGCCGACGGCCAGTCTCTCGCAGCACCCGCAGCTTCGAGAAGTGTACCCCCACCAGGTTTTTGGAACAGGAAGTGGTCCGTGATGAGCTGCTGCTCGTCCTCGGGCGACATTTCCGACAGTTTATAGAACTTGCCGCTCAAATCGCCGCTCATATCGCCCAGAGCGGACTGCAACAAGTTCATGACGTCCTTGCGGTGCGCACGCGACGTAGCAGGCGGCAACGGCATGCCACGAATGTTACGACCAGCGCGGATACGCGTGGAGATGATGAACTCGTCCGGTAACTTTCCGTTCGTCACATGGGATGGATCCATGTCGCATTTATGGTGGTCGTCGGGTTTGTACCCATGCCAGCCTTCAATTACGGGGTCGAATAGAGGCTTGAAGAGCTCGTAGCACTCTTCATCACCAGCGGTTACACCCACACCAAGGTGGGGGTTATCCACGCCCGTTTGGATTGCGCGATCCAGAGTGTAACCCGTGGAGGTTTTGACCTCCTTAAGTTGCGCGTAGATCTCGATCGACAGGTGTTTGGCCATGAGCGAGCGATGCGCCGGCGTGAACTGCGGGAACCCCATGATCTTGGCATCCGTGAGCTGCGCTGTGGAGATTTTCTGTGCCAGCTTGTTGGGCGATATGGCGGACGATGCTGTGGCGTCTTCGGCCATGTTTTTAAGACTGACGGGACTGGTTGAGGCTTGTGCGGCTTGGAGCTCCGACTGCAGAATGAAGATTGCATGAAGATCGCATTGACAGGTCTCGCGTAGCGGAAAGATCGCTGCAAAACATACTGAAAACAAGGGAAACTGAACCGGACAGTCTGAGCGGCCGCGGCTCTTCAAGATTCTATGATTGTGCGGCTGTTGGGAGAGGTATTAATAAGTGCGGTATATTGTGTTTCCTACACAAGTCTCAGTGATTCTTACATATTTGATGTGAGCTTGAAGATCATGCAAATGCTTTTGGATAGCGCACTCAATTTAGAAATCATCCAATACACCGTTCAAGCTAATTAGTCGTAGTTCGCAATTAGTCTTGAATTTGCACTTTAGTGGCATCTCAAATTCGTATATTTGACAAATATGACCTTTGTTCCAGAATATTAGGTTAAAAAAAACGTTAGTTTTTTACAAATTGGACTGGCGAAATTCCATTAAATAGGGTTTCGATCTGTACACCACAATTAGTCAGGGTATGACTAATTAGCGTGAGCGGTGTAGGTCACTGAACAGAATTGATGTCGGTGCCATGATCCGATTCCACATGCTCGGAGAATACTAAAGTAAAAATGTAAACTAGTATAAAGTTGAGCAGTTCAACGGCAAAACCTTGACAAACGCCCGAATAGTCGCGAGCTACCACGTGTCAAATTTGACTGCACGTTAGCCCAAAAATATCAGATCTGCATCGTTTTTAGCACCTCTGAACAGTCACCCTCCACAATTTTATCCATACTGGTGAAAATGCCCCAAAAATCATTTGTTCAAGAGAAACATAGCGCAGTCGACTAAGGTTTGCGCAGGGCTGTTGTCTTCGAGTGATTTTGGTCTACTACGGAGTAAGTAATAGAAAAAAAAATAGACTGCGGGTGTGCTTGTTCCACGTAGCTGCTGGCGTTCTTGTTCCGCCATTTTAGCTGTTAGCTCTTGAGGCTCACTTTTGGACGTCAGATTACGTCGCCGACAAATGCCACACACACACCTCCATATGCCGTTCAGTGAGTTTTCTTAACCCCTTGGTTACCAACGTCGTAACTTACGACGTAGTGAAAACCTTAAGTCGTAAGTTACGACTTAACTGTCAAGATAAACAGATAATGGCTCAGATGCGACGATCACATACTTTAATCAAGTCTGTTTCTCTGCAAAAAAAATAAGCTTGGTAAGGTAGTGGGCGACAGGGGAGAAAAAGGCTGTAGGTGGATTCACTGTCCCACTATCTCGGGACCGTACGTTTGGTGGACGGTGGATGTCCTCCACCAGTACAGAATTTGCGGACTCAAGCAAAGATGCCGGTCAGAACAAGCAAGCGGACAAACGCTCCAGCAGAGGCGCTCTCAGCAATCGACGTGCGAGATGTGGATTTTGGCCATCTATGGCGTCAGCTCGTGCGTGTCGGATGGACGTCAAAGAGGCCAACGCGGCTGTCCAATTTGCACTCGTACTACCCACCGAACGCTGCAAAGGAGCTACACATCGAGGGCGTGAACATGTTTGTCGGTAAGTCTGATGTGGTTAGTCTATTGTGAGTGTGTCTAATACGTGCTTTGTGCTGTGTATGCGAAGGAGAACATGCGGTAGTAAAGTATGCGTTTGAACAGGGCATCATAGGCGCTGACGAGGGAGGTGCAGGCGACGACAGAGACGACGAGAGTGAAGAAGGTGAGCCAGAAGTTCCTGCAGAGTGTGAGAGGGTAACACCGTCTCAGATTGACACGAGTGTTGCTCTCTCAGCGAACACCGTTGAAGCATTGTTTGGATCCGAGAGCGAAGACAGCGAGACACGTGCAGAACTCCCGCTATGCGCCACAAGTCCGCACATAGAGGATGAGAGCTCAAGGGCGTCACAGATAGACACAAGTACTGCGCTTTCAGCAAACACCATAGACGAGATATTTTGTGGAGCTATGAGCGGTGATGAACCAGATGTAGCGCTGTCACTATGCGCCGGTCAAAATGGTGCTGTTGTCGAGCCTGTGACGCCAACAAACTCGAGACGAAACGATGAGCGACCAAACTCGAGAGAAGATCGTGGCTTGCTACAAGAGGACGTGAACATCATGAAGGACGAGGACAATGCAGACGAGTATGAGAGCATGGACTCGGAGTCGGATGGCTTTGGATCAGATGATGATAGTGATATTGTTCAAAGGAAAATTGGTGACGACGTGTCATCTGACGAAGAAGAGGCGCCTCTTATGGATGCAGCATTTATTGATTGCTTGGGGGGTTCTCTATCTATCGAAGACATGAACCAGATTACACTACGTTCGATGGCGTGGACTCCTGCATCCTCCGAGTATGAAACCGACAATAGCGCGTTCAAAGGTATGAAGGTCAAGCGGCTAGGCCTGTGGAAGCACTTCGTGCTAAAATGGATTCTCCATTGGAATTGCTATTCTATTTTATGCCGGTGAACCTGTGGACATTCATCACGAGCGAGACAAACAGATACAAAAGGTCACACCTCGAGGAAAAGGCGCGCCAAGAACGTGCACGTCTCGTTCGTGAAGGACGCAGCGTACCAGGTCAAACGCTACGGGATGTTCGCCGCCGCATACGAGTCGAACCTGATTACGTACCGCGCGAGATTCTTTGTGTCATGGGTCTACTTGTAGCTCATATGCTCACAGGTGCGCATTTTTTTATAAGTGTTGCAAAGTCGTAAGTTTCGACTTGATGGTCTGACATTTGCATTATGTTGTCACTTACGACTTTAGATTCGAGATATATGTAGGGAAGCGTCAAAACCATGAAAGTGCAAGTCAGGCGTTTGACCACAAGACAGGAGCAGCCGCTGTAATTCGAAATTTGAAGGCTGTGTTGGATGAGAACGACCCCGGATTTCGTGTCATTGTTGTCGACAGATTCTACACCTCCGTTGCTCTCGCCATTCAACTACTTTCGATGTCGGTCTACATGATTGGAACAATCATGACGTCAAGGCTGGGATTCGACAAGCACGTCGTTGAGCGAAGGAAAACACGACCAACCACAGTAGAGCGCGGGTCATTCACGTACTCAAGGTCGGTTGCGGTGCCCACCATGGTTGCATGCCACTGGTGGGACCGCAAGCCGGTGCACTACCTGGCCACTGGGGTGTCAATGGCCGAAGATACCATCAAGAGAAACCTGAAGACGGTGGGGCAGTCGACGTTCAGCTGTCCCAAACTGGTGACCGATTACCAGCGCTGGATGGGCGGAGTTGATGTGCATGATCAACTCCGCCTTCAAACGTTCTCCGTCCAGACTTCTTTCAGGTTCCGAAAGTACTATAAGGGTCTATTCTTAGGTCTGTTTGACCTAGCGCTTGTAAACGCGTACATCACACACAAGGAGGCCTGTCGCCTCGACGGCGTCGCCCCAATGAAGCGCGTGGACTGGTACAAGCTGCTGCACAAGCAGCTCACGCAGCTCACGGACGAAGACTTCAAAACAGCAGCGCCATCACCGTCTCCAAGCGCGCCAAAGCGCCGCCGCAACGCTTCCCACGTACACAAGCAGCTTGATGATTGGGTGATTGTATCGGGCGTTCAGAAGCGGCGCCAGCGCTCTTGCAAGGTGTGCTCCCTCTATCGAGGTGAGCAGAAGAAAAGCTACCAGACTACTTACTACTGTGAAGCCTGCTCGCTGGGTGATGCAAAGTGCTTCCTCTGTCCCAAGGCGCGCAGAGGCACGGATACAACGTGTTTTCAAGTGTGGCACGACGACTTCGAATGTGGCGCGTCAATTCCGAGTCACCTAGGTAAGCGTGTCGTTCTGCGCCGTGCCCCCAAGGCCGCCGGAGTGCGAAAGAAGACACGTCGAGAAATCTTGTCTGAGGAGAAAGTAGAGAGCTAGTGAGCCTCCCGTACGGTCTTTAGCAATGCTACTAATGCATTTTGTTGAGTTTCATATGATTGCTGTGCTGTGTAGTTCCGGTTATAACTGTGTTTGTGGATTGTGATCCCGATCACATGATCGGCTAAGTTGTATATGTGTACTTGTTAGTCAGCGATGCTGAAGTACGTCGTCAGTGTTACGACGTAAAAATCGGAAACCTCTGTATAACTTATAGTCCCATCTTAATGATCAGCCAAGTGGAAAAGACAGACTAATACAAACTCCTAGATAATTGTATGCTGTAAGTTACGACGTAAAATAAGGCGGTTCGTGGCCTGAATTCGCGGTAATAAAGGGGTTTATCGGAATGGGCAAAATACGCCTGTGAGAACTTTTATTTAAGGTATCACATATTTGAATGTTTCTTTACAGAAACCCAGTCTGCGCTTGTTCAATACTTCCACTTCTAAAAATACAAAAAAAATCCTGGCCTATCATTTTTTTTATCTCGCTCGATGCATTTTAGGGTTACGATCCCAATACTAATCAGTGTGGTTGGCCATAAAAATGTAGTTTGCTGGGACGGAGGTCGAGATTCTTGATGCGTCGCCGCTGACACTCCCATTCGACAATTTACTTCGCTGTAAATAAGTTACATATATAACCTACCTCGTACTCGACTCGACGTTATCGCAAACATGCGCCTCGCCTACTTCCTTGCTGCGGTTATCGCGACGACTCTCCATGTTAGCAGCTCCGCACTTCTTACCGAAAAGAGGCCCAATCAGCTTACCCTCGAGAATGTGAAATCACCTGGTGTTGTTGAAACAACCAACCCGGATGGCGAACGGCTTTTGCGTCGGGTTAGCAATGCTGATGCAGACGAAGCCAAGGTGGATAAAGAAGAGAGATCCTTGAAAAATTGGCTGAGCAAACAGGTTCCGTTTACAAAGGGCTGGAAACAGGCAAGAGAGACTGAAAAGGTGAAGAAGGCGGCAAAAGCAAAACAGAAACGGCTTAACAAAATGAGACACGCGCAGGGTAAGCCGGAGATCTATAGGGCGTAAAAGCCAGCAAACCAAACGAGATACCACACACTGGTATCAACAGCGACTTTAGTCGAACTATCTGTAAAAACCAAAATAGTGTTTCGCTATGTTTCACTCGCTTTCGTCGACACCATGTCATACTCTGTATTTGGACGTCGGGCATCACTCTACGCCCCGGTCACAGTAGTCTAGACCAGTTTACCTTCTTTCCAGCGAACGGGATCAGCCAGCTCTATCAAAACTTGCAGCGCTAGGCATTATCAACGTGTTTCATCACATGGTCGGTATAGTAGACCTAGATAAATTTGAAAGAAAGGGGCCCTTATCTAAAAAGGAAGCGACGAGGCCACTCAAAGGTCTACAAACCAAATACAGGATAGGGCGTCAATAAGGAACGGGTGTCAATTTATAACCTGATACAAATAATAGTATGTAATTATAGAGGACTCTTGTTGAAGCACTGATTTTTGGCAGACTAAACATGGTACAGTGTACCGGAGGTACCTGTGGTGGGCGGGAAATCTGAATCCGTCGCGGTCATTCAAAAAGATGCAGCGAGAGCTACACCGCCGTGTACGCCTTACCAAGCAGCAGCAACTCGAGCTGTGCAGGATGCACAGCCTTGAGCCTACGTGGAGCCTCGCAATACTTGGACTATTCGCTTTGGAGAAGGCTCCAGCGAAATCATCCGTCAAGCGAATTGTTGAATCCGAGGTGGCTCTCAAGAGTATTCCTGTTGACTTCCTCGGCCTCAAGAAAGCGCCAAGGGCGTCAATGCTTGCGCTGGACTCCTGTATTGTCGAAATGGTGCTGTATGCGGAGCAGCGGCATGTTCCCATATCCAGCCGCTTGCTCATGCTTATCGGTAGGCTTTACGCCGACGCGCTTCATATCCCGCCGACCGAACGTCCTCGATTTACGCGCGATGGGTGGCTGAAGCATTTCATGCGGCGATACGGACTCCGCCATCGCCGAGACCACGGTGAAATCGGGTCCGTAGACCTTCCTGCTGCGCGCAAGGCCGCGCTGGACATGCGCAAAACGATCGCGAAGTATCACCCTGACGATGTGTACAACATGGACGAAGCTGCATTTTTTTCAAGGCGACGCCAGGCGCTAGCATATGCCTAAAAGCAGCTCCATCGCGGAAAAAGAGAAAGGATCGCATGACATTTGTGGTGGCTACTAACAGCTCGGGTACGGACAAGCTCCCGCTTCTCTTTCTTGGGAAAGCCCAGCGGCCTCGGTGGTTACCCAAGAAGCCTGCAGATGCGGAATACCGAGGGACCAGCAAAGGGTGGATGACGGTGCCTGTCTTTTTAGACTGGCTGAAAGAGCTGGACCGACGGATGGGGCACGCCGGAAGGAAGATTCTTCTTCTACTTGACAATGCACCCGTTCATATTGCTGCAGAGACTGACCCAGACAACGTTGAGCTTCTGTTCCTGCCACCTAACACGACGGCAGCCATTCAACCGATGGATCAGGGCGTTATTGCGTGGGTGAAGCGGCGCGTGCTAAACGATTGTGGGGAGGAGTGTGGAAACTGTGCTGTGAAGAAGATCCTTTTACGATTGAAACATCAGACGCTGTCATGTGGTGCAATGATGCCTGGAATGCCTTAGACGCCGACACGATCAAGGCGTGCTGGAGGCACGCAGGTTTGTACGTAGATAGAACCCAGATTGGTGACATTATTAACTAAAATAAGTACATAATTACTTATTTTACATTTTATGCCCTCCCATCCGAAAATACCGCCAATAATCAGTATATATCAGGCGTTCCTTATTGACGCCCCATTCTGTAAAGTGGCGTTTGAGAGTATGGACGTCCCTCAGAGATAGCCACAGGAACCTCTTACTTACTTTGTGCGGTGTCGGTACCGTAAAGCGCTTTAGAACATCTCCGGTGTTTGAGCGTATTTCAACGGGGTTTAGGATAAGCCCACGGTAAGGAAAGTAGCTCCCACCGGAATTCTTAATTTTAAAATACATCGTAAATCATATCGACACACTAAGTTGCTCTGCTTTTGGCTCGCATCTAATCGTACACTAGACCACCTTTGCAAGCTACGTTTTATACAATCTGCTATCGAGCAGCATTATTTGCTGCTTTTTAGCGACTTAGTTGCTAGCGTAATTCCAAGACCAACGGTAAGCCTTAGTGAAATCAAGTCAAAATATTGAAATTCGAGTTCTAGTTTAAGACTGTAGCGTCAACTGAAGTTAATACTACCAATTGGCTGGGAACAATACATTCTCGTAAAGTGTATGGTTTTTTTCACGTAGGTTGAAGATATTAACTTCACCAATAATCAAGGCATTATTGGTTAAGTTAATATCTTCAACCAATTTGAATAGTAGGATTATATCAACCATTCGTTGATAAATACCCTTCATTTAGAATATTAGATTAGGAGGAAACCCCAAACAAACAAATAAACAGTTTTAACTTTTTACCGGAAATCGGCTTTGCTTTAGTAAATCTATACTTTCGAATGAAAGTATAGTTATTCTTAGTGAACGCTACTTACGCTTCCTCATACACGTGCTGTAAGCCGAAGTAGTGGGCTTAAAGTAGGTTCATTACACCTGGTAGCACTTTGTAGTCCGTCCAACGACCGACTAATGGACGAGTTCGAACGGAATACGAACACGGGGCGGAGAACCAACCCATGCACAGTAATCCATCCATGCGTAGCCCAAATGCTTCTGCCACACACATTGTGCGTGCAGACGGTCCCCATCGGGCGGATCCAGAGTGGGAAGCTCTCCAAAGACTGTCGACAGCCACTGGAGAGGCAGCCGTAGCGACAATGCTACGTACGCTGTCGCCGACAGAGCAACATGGTGTTACATGGTGTTGCTCTGGGATTTATCGTGAGCGAGCAGCGCGATGCCGCTGCTACGAAGGGTCGTTCAGGACGACACCACGCGTGCAGACGTTGAGACTGCACGTAAACAGTTATGTGGGCAAAGAGGGCGAGCCTCTTCTCCGATGACTTGTCGAATTCAACACTGCTCCTCATATCACTGACGAGCCGTCGAAGGTTGCGTTCGCCATGTCATGTCTTGGCGGACGAGCGAGGAGCTGGGCGCATGGCCGCCGGCTCATAGATCATACGTGCTTTAGCACATATGTGAAATTTAAGGAGGAACGCAGACAAGCGTTTGAGCCCCCTCATAATGAGTTCCGGTCGAGAGCAGATTTGCTCGACCTGCAGCACGGTAAGCATGACGTTCATGTTTACGCCCGACGTGCTGGATCAAAGACTTGTGCTTTATAAATACGAATCTTAATGAAAAGCTACATGTATTTGACGTTAGAAAGCAAAGCTACCACAGAGCACTTACTTGCCTGCAGCTTGGGATGAAGCCACCTCGTCCTCGTCCATATTCTTGTCCACCCTCCGTAGCGCAGGACGTTTTTCCTCCGCCCAAGCAGTCGCAGCAGACTCTGCTGGAAGTAGACGACCTGAAAGTAGGTAGCAGAACCGTTCGAGCCGCCGCCTTGAAAGCGAATCATGGCTCATATCTTGAGGGGGTAAGGAGGTTGTCTGGTGGATGAACATCCAGCAAACCAAGACGCCGCAGCTGATTCCGTCGAATTGGATTGGGTTATTCTGTGGAATGACGTCAAATTAATTTAGGCCCGCTTACGCTAGGAGAAAAGTACGATTGCCACGCGCACCAATCAGCATACCACGTAGCAGGCGCCTCCGCAGTCACAATGACGTCGTCATCGTTACCCTCCTCGTCGTTAGACGCCTCCTCACCATCGCTCCCCACATCCAATTCATCCAGGTCCTTACGGCTATCGTGCCGCCGTTCACTCCCAGCGCCAGTGTCCTCTTCTCCCTGCTCAGTCGACTCTTCAACTTGTTCAGCGCTTGATAGAGGTGGCTCCATATCACTAGCACTTGTGACGTCTGACAGGCTGTGGAGAAATGTCCTGTACACGAATGTCGCCTGCTTCGTCCTCGACAGCTTCTCGGGAAAGGATCTCAATCGATAATTGCCGAGTTAGAAACGAAATTTATCGAATCCTGAACTTTTTCCTGAATTATAATCCTGGCCCTTAAATAAAGAGTATTTATTTCAGACTGAAATCCGATATGGAAAGTACATGTCACGTGAATATGTCACGGGGAACAAGTTGAGTCACGGAGGGCTTTCAATGGAAGTCACTTTCATACCTACTCTGCAGTCTCCAGCTTCCTATAATACACTCATGCGCACTAGCTCGATCGTATTACTGCTTAGTACCGTTTTCGAGGCATGTGTCGAGAGCGCCTCAGCGACGATCACAGCAAAATTCGCTCCCGTGACTGATATCAGGAGCATCGTTTCAAAGCATTAGTCCTTGGAAAATGACTATACCACGGCGGATGTCCGTGAAGAGAGAGCTAGCTTCGCTTTGGAAAACGCGATCGGCTTCTAGAAGCAACTTCAGCGAAACTCATCGACTCGACTAAGGTGCGGGTGTACTTGCTTTCGAGAAAGACACCAGTCGACGTTTTAAACCAATTGAAGCTGGGAGATGATGTCGCTAGTGCTTTAGCGAGCTCAAAGCTTGGAGTTCTGGAAAATATATCGCGCTTCTAAACAAGGAAACCCCCGTCAAGACCAGCACTTTGATTGGCACTCTCACTGCACACTACGGGAATGACGCTGTGGTCGAGACACTTATATCCGCAGAAAGCAGTGTAGATTCGTCGTCGGCGTTAAAGAAGCTTACACAGCAGTTGAGGTCTCTGCAACAAGATGCTTGGTTGGAGAGCGGTAAGTCTGCGGATTATGTTTTCAAGTTACTCAAGCTCGGAGGCGATGGATACAAAGCGCTTATAGATCAGAGCATGTTTGTACTGAGTGAGTACGTCTCTAAGTTCAACCATTTGCATCCTCGCCGTAAAAGTACGGTGCTCAAAACCTCGACGAAGGGATTCGGTGGTGAGAGCAACTTGGTGACACTTTTGGACACTGCTAAACGTGACGCCCTGACGGAGGTGAAAGCTATGGAATTTGAGACCCAGTTGCTACAACAGTGGCAAGATGAAAACTTGGATCCAGCCAGCGCCATGAAGTTACGTCTTGACAGCAATGCCTACAATATTCTAAAGAGCCCCAACCTGAGGACGTTGAAGAAATACGTAAAAAAAAGTTTAACGAAAACAATCCGGCCAAACAAAAGTCTTTGCTCGACATGTTGACGTCGAAATACGGAGAAGCTAACGTGGCGCAGACACTCGCTGATGCATTACACAGTCAGAACACTGCTAAGGACGTCGCAGTGAGACTGTAGAGACAGCAACTCGATGGGTGGGTGGAGCGCGGTTTGTCTGTGGAAAATGTTCTCCACTGAGGAGCAATATGTTTCTCGCTACTAATCCTAGCTTAGAGACGCTGGAAGATTACATTGTGGCTCTCAACAGTCATCATAAAACCGACGAAACGTTGGTGGGGGCTTTGGTAAAGGGTTTCGGCGAATCTCATGCTGATGGAAGCGAGGACGTCGGGGAAGTTAAGGCTGGAGACGCCGGCTACAAAGCTACAGAATGCGCAGTTTAGGGAGCGGATTGACAATGACATCGATCCGAAGAACGTTCTTACTAGCGTCTTCAATGTGGAGGAGGCCGATGCTTTACGAAACCAGATTCGAGTGGTGAGAGCCTACGAGGCTTACTTCAAGAAGAAAAATAACGCCGCTCCACACAAGGTCGATCCACGCCGCTCGTAGAGCAAAGTACTGAGCATGCCAGCTCATATTTGGTACAGACTTTCAGTACTGGTAAAGAAGGGCATTCGTTCGCCAGGGGGGGGGTCCGAGATGACCCGAAAAAGGGCGGCCCTTTCTTCTTTGCCATTCATCCATGTGGAATGGAATACATGGGGCTGAGAATTTCTGTGAAATTAATCAGTATGTGAATCGATCACTGTGGCTTTCTCTTAGAAATTAAGTGCTCAACCGTCTGTCGAAAGAAAATATTTTCTAAACGAGCCATCACTATTTCTCCATGTCTATCGTTGTTAACTACGCAAGAATCTTTAGTATTCCTCATTTCTATCGTTGTAAGTCAAGGATCTTTAGTATTTGTCAGCAGAATGTGGACCGATTGGTGAATGGCCATCAACTACTTCGTCCCTAATTTCCAAGACGATCGAATTGGGTACTGTAGTATAATTTTTTTAGCGACAATGGTACAGGCCATCAGCAAACAAATTTTGCTCCGATTATTGTGCAGTTTCCAGTATTTCGCGAGAGCTGTGCGCTCGATATTAAAGGAAATACAGTCTCCACCTTGGTGATAGAACGAAAGCGCAGTTGCGGCGACAAGAACTTGTAGTCTGCAAGGACGAAGCGCAATCGCCTTCCTAAGCGTCCGGTCCTGACTACGTTGAAGCAGGAATCAACAGGCAAAAAAGCCAAAAGAAAAAAAATATCCGCTATTTATTTAACCGCACTCTTGTAGGAAGGATTTTGATCTATTCAGTCGACGACTTCCTCTGGTCGTCCTCTTCCTTTGCGTAACATCTCGAGTATGGGTGTGGGCGACGCCTCGGCTTGGCGTAAATCTCAGGCGATGGCGGCGGACTAGACGACGTCAAGCCGCTCCAGATACCGGAGAGCGAGCATACGGCCTCTTGTCGTTCGAGTCTCGGATGAGGTATCCGAGGTCCACGGAACGGGCATCCAAAGCGCGGAGACGCCGCTTCGTCGCTCTCTGTCGACGAGTTGCGCGGTCTCCTGTGACAAAGGCCCTTGTGTCTGTGCTGCGGCGTGTCGTCCATGGCCTCGATGCGCTTACGCCACGACTGTAGTAGACACGGAAGACCTGAGACGTCGTTTGAGCCTGTGTCTGATGTCCTCTGCGCCTCGAGGCAGCGACTGCGCACGCGCTGGTGGAACTGCTGAATGCGCTCACAGAACAAGCTGCCGCTAGCTGAGGGCGGGTCTGAGGAGTCCACTGGTCGGGGCATGGTCAGGTCTCTGTGTGTATGGAGTTATAGAGGCTCTGGCAAGTGAGATGGACGTTGTGGAGTGAGCACTGTTCTGAGGGTGCTGTTCTTTATGAGGAATGTACTGTGTGACCATCGCTGGGAGGTCGGAATGTTGGTAATGTCCCATCAATACTCAGCTCAAGTTTATAAAACTCGATGGCAAGTTGACAAAGAAAAGGAAAAAGGTGCAAATGATTGTGGTCGAGGAACTCCCATGCCAAGAGATGTTTGTGATGCCGCTGCTGAGTCTTGTTGGTAAGCATTTGCATACAAGATCTGGTTACGTGCAATGATCGAGTGGGCGGTTTACGGCTGTCGAGCGTGGAAGGCATGCATTCGCACTGCAAATACCAAGCGGAGTGTTGGCTGGGTTGATTGATTGGTACATACGTTGACACTTGCTTCAACTCACCATTGTGTCATTAGCGCGCCAAGCAACTCGAATTGTAAGCGAGTCAAAATAGAAATAAGTTTGGCTGCTGTGCAGAAAGCAAACATGCCCTAAGCTGCCTAGTAGACAAGCTATCAGCAAGTAGACGCTTTGAGCTTTCAGGGGACTCTAGCGCAACATCAGAAGTCCCCATGAAGAAGCGTAGTCTGTACTTCATATACCCCTTTATATCGGATCACCTGGATTGGGGGTATTTTTGACAAATCACAAAATCGCGTGAATTCCCTTCGCAAATTAATCAGACGGCCTCCCTCGGGGACTTCTGTTCTCATTACACTCATAGTACCGGTATTTATTATTGTAAGTCGGATCTTTGAAGGGGTCTTTGTTGCTTTCAAGATCAAATTTGCCGTTTTGGTTGACGTAGATCGTACTTAAATGGGTTCATGCAGCGTTTTTTAAAACGCGGTTGGAAATCTTGAGTACTGTAGAACGCACTCGACGCGCTTTGATCTAAGGTTTCCGGCACTGTTTTGAGCGCGAAAAATATACTCCTTTTCCCCATAAAATAGCAAATTCGTAGTTCATGATGGCAAAATGCAAATTCAAATGGTCTGAAAATCGATAAAAAGCGATATGAACTGCGCATAGAATATGACAGGCTATTATATAGTACAGGTCTTGGTCGATAAACACTTCGCGCGATAATTATCAACTCGGTTTGCCGTTCTATGCTGCTTTCACCCACCATCATTAAGATCTACGGAGGTGTCACGATTTTTGTCTGCCACCCGTGGTGAACAATACACGGCGTTAATGGCGCGTTGTTCCAATCCAACAAGTGAAATCAGAGATGATTACAGATGAACCCTTCGGTAGTAAAGCTCTCCTCATTGTATACCCTCCGACAAGAATATAATATTGGAAAGCAAGGACAGCTGTAGCTTGCACCGTCCCTTCGTGCTTAGCTCATCTCGCAGCTCACTCTGCATAGCTCTTAGCCCTTGTTCACTTGGCCCGTTGAATTTGCTCGAACAAGCAGCTTGGCGGTCCACTTTAAGGTGTTCCTTATAATTCGCAAAAGTGAGCTCTATTTTATCATTATTTGCTTCGCCTCTAGTATTCTCAGAGGCACTCATTCAGTGATCACTCAAGGGAACGTCCTCCACCTCGATCCGCAGAGCGCTCCATCAATGTGGGCGTCGTGATTTGCTTGTTCGCTTTTGGCTTCTGTAAATGTACCATTTCGAAGGTACATCTGGCAAAGCCACCCCACAACAAGAATACCCTTAGATAGGAATAACGTGCTGGCCGATGTTTTCCCATTTTTCCATGGCATGTTGAACTTACATTTTGCCACATTGAACTACAAATTTGCCATTTTGAAGGCGAAAAGGTGTATTCAAACGCCTCCGCCAGCTCACTGGTGTGCACATTTCAACACTACACCTTTGCCAGGTCAAGATGGTGCTACTCCACTTCAAAGTGGTGAAGTAACTAAACCTTTTTAAAAATTATTCTCAATTTTTACATTAGAGTTTATGTCACTTCACAAATATGTCAAGTAAACGCACTCCGTACTTCAAAGTGGTTTATTCGCAGTTCAAAGCGGATCAACCCTCCTGAGTGTACTTCATTGCCATTTCTCTCTCTCTCTTATCAATCTTTTCCCAAGCCCTCAACCAAGCCAAGCCTCTACCTACCCCAAGATGCCCAGAGCCCCGCACCTCGCATTTGCCAGAGCTCGTGTCCTCGACTGCCTCCGTGTCGGCGGTGACTGGACGCTTGTAGCCGCCCACAATGGAATCCCCGCCACCACATCACGTCGATTTGTGGAAGCAAACGGAAGCACACGTCGCTGAACGAGCCGACTTGGTACTTGTACGGCTGGCTCCGTACTCTTCAATATGTACTCCATTCAAGGTACGCAGTATACTGTATTACAATATTTTTTTAAATGGCATACTAACCGACTTTTGAGCTGGTGCTACAGGGTGTTTTAGTGCTTTTAAGGCCAAGATCAAGGCCGACCGTGCCTTGCCCCGTAAAGGGCTGGTTGTGGAGCATCCTCGCGGGACGGTTGCGGCTGCTCGGATGGAGAAACTGGAACGCGCGGCGAGACGCCGCATCGGATGTATCGACACGCACCTTGCTAACAGGTTGACACTGCATTGCCAGCATTCCGTTGCTGCCGCGGAGCGCATGGAAGACATGCAGTACGGCACCTAGCTGCAGCTCAGCCTGAGGGGACCACTTTGCTCTGCGTTTTCGCCACTTTGAATTTCCTTTTTAGTGCTACTTTTTCGTAATCAAATTTTTGTTTTCATTTTTTTTAAAAAATCCGGTTTGAAGTGGAGTAGCACCATCTTGGCCTGGCAAAGGTGTAGACACTCACCATTTCGACACCCACGGCACATCCCCACTGCCGCGTATCACTCTGGTCCACTTAAGAATACACAGTTCAATTTAACATCATTTTAACGAGCTACATACATGTATCAGGAAATTTAATTGGACAGAGCACTGGTCTATGTCATATGATTAGCCAAACGTTGTTTTGGGTTTTCCATGTGGCATCAAAATCAGTCCGAAAAACATACCAGTCTAATGACGCCCCAAAGTACGCTAGATAGATATATGACGTATAATATACATGTTCATATTATAAACATGTACTTCACACTTATGGTCTACGCATATCGAAAAAAAACGGAAATTGTCCTGGTACTCCGGCCGAATAGCAGCCCCATTTCGCCACGTTTGATGCCAGATCTGGTCGCAGGTAAGGCTACTGCCGTGCTCAAGACGCCGTACCTTGCTGCGCAGGAGCTTGTGCAGACTGCACTGAAGAAACTAGTCTCGAAACTGCGCACTCCAGAACCTGCAAATACCGAACACACTTTGCAGAGTCCTTTGCGGCTCTTTGTCTTTGTCTTGTTCTTCTCCTCTAGCTTCTGGGGTGTGTGGGGATGGCTAGGAAGCGGACGAGTGATGGGTTCCTCCATGTCGTTGCCGCCGGCGAATCTCACTGGTCTGCCCAAGAAGTTCAGCGTGTAGACGACGCATGAAGACTGCGCGGTGGTACAGGTTTCTGGAGCTTTCGCATTGCTAACACGTGAATAATAAATGCGTTAGTCATGCCAATGTCGACGAGACTGATAAACAGCGTCTTGTAGGACTTTCGCATTCGGACCAAGCGCTGGATTGAGTAGCGCTGTAGGCGGCGTTGGGCGTGGACATCAACTCCGCTCATGGCCTCATGATAATCCTTCACCAGCCTTGGGCGGCACCCTGGACACAGCCCCGCCTGGTTCACGTCGGCTCGCTCGTGCAAGCAGCGTGGAGTACCCCGGTTCGAGAAAATGAACCGGCTTATTGTCCATCCAGCTCAATGCAATGGACTCTGAATGGTTGCGTCACTGAGCAATGTGAAATGTGCCTTTAGCCATATTTGTAGCACCCCTTGCGATCACCCCGGATCGTTCTTACATGTATATGCCCCATTGCCAGGAGCTTCTGTGGCAATGGGATAATATAATAGTAGTTTTTGGTGCATATCAGCCGCTGCGCAGGTTGACCTCGAAGAACATGGAGAAGGGTCATCACGACAGCCTTCTGAGCAATTGCTTTTTCTTCCTTGTCAGGCTTACCACTGTTAATATCGATTCTACACAAAACAATACAACACGGTAGGTACAATTCCGATCCGTGTTTGATTTGCTTCCAAATAGTTATTTCATCGAGGCTTTACTCTGATTCTTGAGGTTTTGAGGTTTAATACCAAACTTGTAGAAAAACCTCAAATATCTCGAGTTGTTTTTCACGAAGTTGCTATTTTTGATTGAGCTGCTAAATATATGCAGATTATATTTGAAATAGCTTTTTTTAGCAAGATCAGCTCGATAATTGTTTTGAAATGAAGATTCTTAAAGTAAACCACTGCATTGGAGACCAGTGGTCATCAACAATAGTGGATCACGGTTGGCGCGAGTTGAGTCACGGAGAGGGGAGTTGCTCCAGCCGATTTAGTAGCAGTTATTTAAAAATCTACCCACAAGTCGCTCATTGAGAAAATATGCGTTTCAGCGTGATTATATCGCTGCTTGCTACCGGTTCGCCGATGGTACACCGGACAAGTCGAAGACAATCACAGATGAACAGCCGTTGCTGACACCCGGGATGTCGCTCCAATTTACAGATTCTTGAGAGGTGGCGATACAACAGTCGAAGCTAGTGAAGAGAGAGGTGGTTTCGGAAATGTGATTCATTCTGTAATTGAAAGTGCAGCGGAGTCCACCCAAGCAGTTAAATTGTGGAATTACTTGCGTATGAACCAGACGCCAGTCGATGTTTCGAAAAAATTGGAGCTCGGAAATTACATCGAAAAGTGCCTTGAGGAGCCCCCAGCTGGGCGTTTTGGGGAGTATATCGCGATGACCAACAAGGGCAAACCGGGTGAGACCGCCTCGATGATTGAGACTCTCTCCGCACGCTACGGAGACGATGCTGTGGCAAAAGCACTGGTATCCGCAGGAAGACGTGAGGATTCGTCACTGGAGTTGATGGCTCTTGCACAACAGTTGCAGTCCCAGCAACTCTATGCTTGGCTGGACAGTGACAAGTCTGTTGGCGACGTATTCAAGTTACTCAAGCTTAAAAACGATGGATACGAAGCGCTCACCAGCCGAAAAATGCTGGTACTAGACGATTACATCGCGAAGTTTAATCACCACTATCCTGAGCATCAAACTTCGTTGCTCGAAGCATTGACGAAAGGGTTTGGTGGTGAAAGCAACTTGGTTTCGCTTTTGAACACTGCAAAACAAGACACCCGCACGATGGTGAAGGCGAGGGGATTGGAGGCCGGGATGCTCAAACAGTGGCAAGATGAGAGCTTGGAGCCAGCTAACGTCATGAAGCTGCTACACCTTGACCAAAGTGTCACCAGTGTTTTAACAAACATCAACTTGAGGACGTTTCTAAAATACCTCAAGAAGTTCAACGGGAACAATCCCACCAAACAAGAAACATTGGTCGGAGTGATGGCGTCGATATACGGAGAAGCTAATGTGGCAAAAGCAATCGTCTCTGCTCTACGTGCTGGGGATACGAACGGCGTCGCGGCAAAATTGGAGCTACAGCAGTTCAAGGGTTGGATGGCTCGTCATTTGTCTGGGGAAGATGTTTTTAGGCTGCTGAAGATTAGAAACGATGACTTTTTCAGGCATAGCCGAAACTTGCCTACGCTGGACAATTACATCCAGTTTATCAACCGTGAAAAGGGAGCTGACGAAACGTTGATTGGCGTGTTGACAAGGGGCTTCGGCGAATCTCGTCTGGCGGAGCTGCTAATGGGAGCGAAATCGAATCCGCTGCTAGAGAACACGGCTATAAAGCTACAGAACGCACAATTCAGTGAGTGGAGTGGCAAGCATTTAGCTCCGGCGAAATTTTTTACCGATATCTTCAAGGTAGAGGGAGGGCAAAGCGTCAGCTACTCAGAAAGAAGTGGTAAAGGGGTTTGCGGGCGTACGCCAATAATCACTCCGCATAGGGTTGATCCGCCCTTGTATAGCGAAGTATTAGGCATCTCCGATACTACAGCAGGCCTTTCAGTACCGATACTACAGCTGTCATTAATGTTCCTCGCTCTGACGCTAATCGAAAAAAGAAGTTGTTTTCGTGTTCGCTATAGCCTTTTATTTACCTCTGGTTGGTCCAGGACACCCGCGACCTCGATGTTGAGAATGCAAGAAAAAACTAATTGCGATTTAATTTATAATTGGGCCTTGCAAAACTAGTTTTTATTAGTGGTTTGTTCGAGTACAGTTGAAAGAGAAAACAATTGTTTGTGGAGTAAAAAGGGTGCGAATAATTGTCAGTGCAACTTTGAATGAAAAACTACAAATACTAAGGATTGTACATGTCTACCTTGAGCTTGTATGACATAATATCCTACCGTTTATAAAACAATTAGATTCTATTAGACTGGTAGACCTGCTTTTTTGTGAATGGGCTTTTGATAATACTGTCTACTTTGAAACTCGATCATCGGACGATAGAAGATGCCGGTCGGAACAGGTACAAATCAGCGGGCTCTGGTGGTAAATCGGTTCGATCGCACATGAAACTACGTGCCGGTTACTTTAAGCTTTTTTTTTCTAGTATCAGCCTCTGAAAGCGTCGTAATGAAAAACTTGGACAGTCTTCGCATGTTTCCCCAAATTATTAATACGTAGATTTGAATAATTTCGTCAAAATTAGTCTGAATTTCTTGAATAATCGCCACATCAAAGGCTTAACCGACACGAAGGGACAACCTACGTTTATTATCAATTACGGGGTAACCAACCGACCAAATCTTGCAAGGTATCCCGTCTCAAAGTACTGTACCGGATTCGGTATGTCAAATCGTACATGTGTGATTTAACAAAATAGACTTGTTCCTATTAAAATCTTCTTTGACTCTGTTCTCTAAATGTCTTGACATAGAGAATTCTGTATTCTACATGAACTACATGTCTAAAATTTGCTCAGCTCTCTACCATGTCGCCGTCGGAGCCTGCTGCCGCGTCCCCAGCACCTCCCAATGCTCCTGCTTCGGCAAACTCGAAGCCCGATGCATCCTCTACGATCCCTGCAGACCCTTCGTCCATAGAGTCTCTATTGGCGGAGTTACAGCTGGAACAAGTAGTCAAAACCTTGTGGCGCGCCGCAAGCCACGACCCCGCTCGCTTCCGCCTCTCACCATCGCACTGCGTGGTTGCATCCGCCGGCAAGAAGCAGCAGACGCTAGAACTGCCGTGGGGCGATGTACTGGGCGCCCACGTCCTCACATCGGACGGGGAACTCGTCCAGAGCCCTGTGGACGTGCAGAGCGACGCAAAATTCCTTTTCGGCGTCTTCGCCTGCGTGTGCAAGAGCCACAAGCCCAAAACGATGAAAAAGCGGCGCGTCGAGGAGTTTTTCTTCCGATTCAAAGGACAACAGATGCCGCAAGTGCTAAAACTGCAGCAACTCGTCAACTTTGTGGCCGATCCGAGGAACCAGGAGACTGTCGAGAAACTGGAAAGTCTGGACCAGCTGGAGGTCGTGGCGCGACCGCAACGCAAGTTCCTGGTGCTCATAAACCCCGTGAGCGGACCAGGACGAGCGCGGCAGATCTACGACAGCAAAGTGGCGCCTGTGCTCCGCTTCGCCAACGTGGAGACGGACGTGAAGGTCATGGACCACGCCAACCACGCGATGGAGATCGTCTCGGAGATACCGCTGGGTGTCTACGACTGCGTCGTGGCCGTCGGTGGCGACGGCAGTCTGTACGAAAGTGAGTGTGCACTGTAGTTAGAGTACCGTTAGAGTCACGGTACGAGATCTCTGACGCTACTGTAATTGAGTACTGTAGTTGTCCAGGGTCTGATGAAGCGCGCGGACTGGAACGAGGCGATCCGACAGCCAATCGGCATCATCCCGGGCGGCTCCGGCAACGGTCTGGCCCACTCTATCGCGCACCAGAGTGAGGAGAAGGGCAAGCCCGTGAACGCTGCCTTCATCCTGGCCAAAGGTTTACCGCACGACTTGGACATCACGTCGGTGCGCAATGACAAGGACACGACGTACTCGTTTCTGTCGCTGGAGTGGGCGTCCATTGCCGATGTGGATATTGGCTCGGAGAAGCTGCGGATGTTGGGAGGACTGCGCTTTACCGTCGCCTTTATCAACCAATTGGTGTTAAAACGACCGGAATATCCAGGGAAAATCTGGTATCTGGACGAAGGCGAGGACGCAAAGCCTCAACGTTACTTCGAGACGCACGATCCAAAGTCGACACAACGTCCAGCAATGGATTTATTCGATGGAGAAGGTCAAGGTCCGAAGGAGACGGAAGACTCGGAGGCCAAGTGGAAGCAGCTGGACGGACATTTCCGTATCGTCTGGGTCATGAACGTCTCGCACGCAGCTTCCGACGCGCTGATTGCCCCCGGTGCCGAGTTTGATGATGGCTACAACTACATCACGTTCATGGACGGCGCTCACTCCCGCAAGGATCTGCTGGCGATGATGCTCGCGATTGAGAGTGGTGACCACATGGACAAGAAAGGGGTGCAACAGGTGCGCACGCGAGCGTTCAAGCTCGTTCCTGAGCGAGCCACCGACCTCATGTGCGTGGACGGAGAAGTGGTGGAAGGCCCGTATCTTGAGGCTCAAGTCCACCGAGGCATGGCTCGCATTATGGCCGTCCCTCGCTGGCAGAATAGGGAGGAAGTGGCACTGCGTTAAGCGTATGAACCGAATTTTTGCTATGGATTAGATGATTTTTTTCTTAAACATTTAGGGCGTTTTATAAGAGTGATTTTCACTGTAACGGCTTGATATTGTTAGCGTCAGCAATAGCTGCAAAGCAGAAGCGATGGGCGGCATGCTGAGCAACCAGGTGCCTGTGTCTGACGAGCGCATGCAGCAGATGATCAAGAAGCTTAAGCGTGCGTGAAAAGTTTTTTGCTGCTACGAGATTTATACTTCCATGTGCGCTAACGCTGACATTGCAGTTACCGCCAAAGATCTCAGTGTGCTCTACGGCAAATTTTCTCGCTACGACAAAGAGGTTCGTATTTGGCTTGCATAATATTCGGTTGCCGTTTACTTATATAGAATTGCGTTCTGCTAACGTAGTACTGGAGAACTTGAGATTGAATTTTGCGTAAAACAAACTGTTTTAATTTTTTTAACTGCAGTAAGAGCGGTACGATCGACAGAACCGAATTTTACGCCTCCATCGACGAGAAACACTCGCAATTCGGCGATGCGATCTTCGCCCTCATCGGTAGGCTACACAATAAACTTTAACGACACTCTTCACAAAATTTACATTATTTCTTGTGTTACAAACAGACGAAGACAACAGCGGAGTCCTGGACTTTAGCGAGTATGTCGAAGCTCTTGGGAAATTCTGCCTCTTGAATAAAGAGGACATGCTCAAATGTACGTCCTGCAACTTCACTTTGAAGCCAACCTACAGCAATTGACAAAGTTTTCTGCAGTTTGCTTCAACGTGTTCGACGATGACAAAAACGGTACAATTGAGGGTGAAGAGTTGACCAACCTGTTAGAAATTTTACACGAAGACGAACAAACGAGTAACATGAAGCAGGCACTCAAAACTTTCGATTTCAACGGGGATGGGAAGATCGACTTTGCCGAGTTCAAGCAGCTCAATTCGCAGTTTCCAAGTCTCTTGTATCCTGCTTTTCGTATCCAACAGAACATGAAAATTTTCACGCTCGGTGAGAAATGGTGGCAGCGAAAGATTGAGGAACTGACGTCCGAGCACACCGAGAAGCTCGCGCAACAAGCAGCAGTAGGAAATGTTGAGGATACGAGTGACGAGGCTCAGAGAGCGAGGAAGGGGGAGATGGAGCGCACCGCCAAGCAGAAGCGACAACAGCAGGCGAGTCGTATGCGACTGGGGTGTTTGTACTACACTTGCTGCCCATGTCGACGGAACTATTTCATCGAGGACGAAGAGTCCAGCAACAGTGACAGCGACTCGGACGAAGAGGGATCACGACGCAAGCAAAAGACAGCAGCCCCGAAAGGCAAGAAAAGTGGCAAGAAGCAGAACATTGTCTCGGTTGGTCCTCGGAAGCCTCTTAGTCAAGAAGAACGTCTGGAACGAGCTCGGAAGCGAAGGTTGCGGGATATGCAGGATCGACCCACTCGCAAGGACTGACATCTAGAATTTGCTCAGAGAGTTTATTGGCTGAGGAAATCAGATATTTATTCGGTGTCGCAGTGGGCACCATTACATGTACATACATTGTACATTGTACACCCACACTTTCCAACGACGATCTGAAACCAGAGTTGGGCTCTAGGAAATCGTTGCAACAAGCTGGTTGTAGCTTTCCTGACAAGTCTTATTGAACAAGGTGCTTAAAAATGAGCAGCATATCGCTCGAGTTTAAGTCGATCACTGATCAACTCTCGCTTGCAGAGATAATCTAGACATAGCGACTAATTCGACATTGCCGCCGTCACAGAGAATGCGGTGCTGTACTGTAACACAGTATCTTGCACGATTTGCATTAATCTCATGTTGAAGTGATTAAACGAAGCCGCAAGAGACCGTAATATTCGCTGCAAACGATCTTTGCATATTGCCGAACCACACATCAAGAGAGAGACAGCGGGGCAAAAGACTTGCCAGCTTTGAGCCTTGCTGCCTGGCCGGAGATGGACATTCCTAGCGGGATTCCAAGTCCCTCTTCCTCATTCAACGTTTCTATTGTTGCCAAAGAAACGTGAAAAGTTACATGTTACACCTAACCTTCAGCGGGATGGGCAGGCGGCACCTGCTCTGCCGCTTGCGACTGTGAAAATGTTTCATTTCTGAATTGGTTCAGTATCGTTCGAGTGGCGTTTGTTGGCGTTCTCTCGCCAACTGTGAGATGTTGCTGTTGCTTTCATCGCTGCTGTTCCACGTGGCAATTGCAGCCGCTGACGACGCCACCATTCCCTTCAACTCATGGGGCAACACCGTCGACACACTGCAATATGCGCTCGCCTTCATCGTGGTGTTGGTGGCCGCTCATCCGCTGGGTCTCTTCTTCCCCAAACTCTTCAAGTTGCCTCTGATCACGGGATATCTCGTGATCGGGATCATCGCAGGGCCGTTTGTGGCCAATTTGCTGCCCAAGGAGCTGGTGGAAATGCTGTCGACGTACGTGAGCGCATTGGCGCTGTCGTTCATCTCGTTCCAAGCCGGACAGGAGATTTATCTACCGGAATTGCGACCGCAACTCAAGCAGATCTTCATCCTCCTTAGTGTTCTCTACGTTGTGGCCATGATCGTCCTCACGAGTGTTCATTTACTGGCAAATAACGCCTTTTTCTACGACGACTTTATCACGAATTGCCAACTGGGGATTGCACTCATGTTTGGCTCCATCTCGGTCCTGGGCTCCCCTGCCACAGTGATGGCAATAAAAATCGAGCTCAACAGTGTCGGGCCCTTCACGAATCTCATGCTCGGAGCAACAATGACAGCGGAATTTGTGGTGCTAGTGTCTTTCTCCGTCTCGCGCATTATTTGCTCTATTTACTGCGCTGACCTGAGTGTGTCAGTGGGGAATCTCGTCTTCACATTGGCCATGGTGGCGTCTAACTTGCTTCTCGGAGCGCTACTAGGCCTCGTCATCATCCTCATATTCCAGATCCCAGGAAGCGCAGCAGACGAACACTTGGATCTGCATGACCCCACGTCCCTCACTGCGTCCAACTACGGTCCGTACAAAGAGGTGGAGGCAACAACAGATCCAGACAACTTGCCACACCCACACAACGCCTACGTGGAGGCAACAGACCGCAGACGCGCCCCAAGCCCAGAGTTCTGGACGACGCGGATGTCTCTGTATGTCAAGGGCTTTCTGTGGCTGACCATGGGCTACATGTTCTACATTGCCACTACGACCATCAGTGAGGCCACTGTGGCGTCCTACGGGTTGTCGTGGGAAGTGAAATTCGAGCCTTTATTAGTTCTCATGGTGGCGTCCTGCCTGGCTGGCCACTACTCGTTGATTCGCCACGACATGCATGTCATCTTGGACACTGTGGCCCCTTACATGTTCCTGCCTTTCTTCGTCATGACTGGCGCTGCTCTCAAACTCGACAAAGTGGTGGACGCCATCCCGCTCATGAGTTTGTACGTGTGTCTGCGCTTCGTTTCTGTCTTCATTGCGTGTTACCTCGGCGGTCGCTTCCTACTGAAACTCTCGCCACGGCAGTACAATAATTTGTGGCTGACTATGACGCCTCAAGCTGGTGTGGCACTAGGTTTGGCAAATGAAGTGATGGCGCTAAGCTCCGAACCGTGGGCGGCCGAGTTTGCGGCAACTATTGTTGCAGCTGTGGTGGTAAACCAGATCATCGGACCGGTCTTGTGTGCCATTGGCCTCAGTCGAGCGGGAGAGAGTATGTACGACCGAGTGGCAGAGACGCAACCTGCCGATGGCGACGTTTCCGAGAGTGACAGCAGCGTTAATGGAGGGCGCGCACTGCACCGCAGTCGCCTCTCCAGCAGTAACATTACACAGGGCAATGGGGATCCACGTGCCTTGCTGCCGTTCTACAAGGTCAAAAGCGCGGTGGTCATCGGGGAGGACGAAGTGGCGTTTGAAGTTGCCCTCGAGTTGTCCTTATATGGCGCTCAAGTGAACGTGCCACTGTTGGACAAAGAGCAAGCGGAAAAGTGGCACTCCATCAACGAAACGATCCTAAAACGCTCCGCAAAAGGAGAGTTAATCCAATACAAGAACAAGGTTAAAGACCGCGAACAGAACGACCAAATGTCGACCGCTGATGTGCTCATCTTCACTGGCGACGGCATGCGAACCCTAGAGCACGTACGGACGATGAAGGCGTTACTGGGAGAAGACCACCCTCGAATGATTGCAGTCATCCCAGACTGTAACTTTGGGAAGGACTTGAAAGAGTTAGGAGTGTTGATCATCCAGCCTGCCATTGCCTTGGCCAATATTGCCACTCGGATGGCTCTACTGGAGCCCAAACTGGCCGAGTCGCTGTCACAGGAGATCAGCACAACCAGCGACTTCGCCACCGCCGCGTACTTTATGAACCGCGACTCTGTGCACTCGCTGTCCGAGATGCGACTCGAAGGTCGTCGCTTGGCTCTGGGCCGAAGTGTCGTCAACCACCACTCGGTTAATTACGATCGACTTGCGGAAGCTCTGGCTGCTGAGAACCTCCCTATGCCTCCTCCGCCGTCGCGTGTGTCCATGTTTGGCACTTCAGCTGCGGGGTTCGACCCGTTCGCCAGTCGTGGCGATGGCATGTCGGCGTACGAGCATTTCGTGGTGCAAGATGAACCCGACGTTAATGATGAGAATGTTTTCAACGCGCAGTTCGTGCAACGCTCGCCTCGGTTGGGAGTCTTCCCATCGCCACAAGGGAGTAACTCGTACTCGTTCGTGCGATCCAGATCGTCTCGTAGTCCTGGAGGAGGTCGTCCACGCGTTAATTCGAGCACAGGCAGCGTCCACCGCGGACTCGCGCGCACGTATTCTGATGTTGTATAAATTGTCAGTAATAAAAATTCTACCATGGGTAGAAGGAATTTACCCAGCTATTTCAGCGAGGTTTTACTCTGGTTTTTGCAGATTTAGAAGAACCTCAAATGCCTCGATAATTAAAGAAAAAAATCTAACTGCGTTGTTCCGGGGAATAAAAGGGTTCTTTTCTATTAATACCTAAGACCTGCTATCAATTACTTACAGGATTTGCGTCTCCGTGGCGTACCTTGTGCACGCTTGCTTCACATCAACTACCGGCTGCGACCCTATGGCCCAGTTGGTTTTGCGGCCACGAATTCGTACTTAAGCGAATCGGAATTTTTCAACGCGCCGAGGTTTGAACCCGCAACCTCCCGATCAGAAGCCCAGTGTTTAACCACTTGACCAGTTCGCTGAAATAGCTGGGGAGCGAAGCCGAAAGTGTTTTAAACAAAGACATACACTACTGTACATGCACGTTGCGCAACCACGCAAAACCACGGGTTGAGACAGTGAGTAGCTTGATCGGAAAAAGCCCTACTACTGGTTTGTGTTATTATTTGCTCTTAGCTGCAACGTTAGAACAGCCGCATCCATGCACTGCTAAAGCGAATATGCCTCCTGTTTTACCTTTACATTCTTGCTCACTAGTGTGCACTGGAGAGGTGGCACTCCATGTTTTCAGTGTTTGAGATCGTACCAATTCCCGAAATCTTAAAAAAATCTTCATTTTTGCTGCTGCGTCGTCTAAAAGCGTTGTATATGCTGCCTCTGAAGCTCTCTCAAGGTGGATTTTCTCACCGAAAAGCTTGGTAAGCCATCCTCGCTCTTCCGCTGCAACATACTTCGATTTGCTACTGAGATAGTCGACGCTCTCTTGAGATGCCTTGGCAACTTGCCTCAATGATCTCTTCGCCGTGTTACTGCTATCAATATTGTCAGCAGAAGAGGTAACAAGCAGATCGGAGTTTCCGCTCCTAGTCTTGACCTCCATAGCTGTTGAGATAGTGACCACGTTGGTGAAGAAAGTGAAAGCTACCAGACGGAGTGTACAGCGGAGCCAGGAAATCGAAAACATCAGAGTGTTAGAGCGCTCACAGTATTTGAGACGATGCGGTGAAATGAGGAAGTGAGTTTCGGGCGTCTTAGGGGCGTATGGTTGGCCACTGTAATCGACCCATTTAGTTTTTAGGAAGCTAATACATGTACATGTGTGTAGCTCCAAAGAGGAGCCACCGGAATATCCCAGGGATAGCGGTACAGTTCTGGTGCTATTCCGCGGCTTCACATCGGCCACACAGCACTTATAGCTAGACCTAAACTACCGCTGCGTAGCGGCTAGCTCATCAATGATTACATTTGGTGATAAACACTGTTGATGTGGACAGAACATGCCAAACACATGCATTTACTGCGCCAGCACACAGCAAATCATTTCTGTAAAATTTTGATCTTCTGAGTGTCGCAATAAGACATAATCGACGATTAGAGGTCACAGCAGAAAATTGACCAGCCGCGCACTTCGCCACCCCCGCGGCTCGCTACGCTCGCGATATCTAAATAGAATGTCCTGGAGAGTGCAATGCGCGACTCGCTGGTGAGTTCGACGCTGGCACCCGCTCACCTTAGTGCCGCGGCTATGGCACCCGCGTCGCCTATTAATAGCACCGTGTGGGTTATCCCAGCGATGGGCGTGTGTTTCTCCTATTCTCTGCTTCCTCGCGGATGTCTCATCACAGGACGTCACTTCGTAACGTTACACATGAATTGTCAATGATAGTTCCTGCTTAGCGAGCATTTCAACAAAGTTCTGATGCTTGCGCGTCGAAAAGAATCAAGTGCGAAGTACTACGTAAGGCAGGCAAGTTCAGAGCGAATATTGTATCTCAGTGCAACTTTTATTAAACGGTCAAATTGATGCAGGCCCAACATAAATTTAGGCGTGACCAAAACAGACCAAATCTGCGGGTGACCTGTTTAAAAAAATCTCTGATCTAAAAGTTGTGGTCATAAAGATAGTGTGTGTGTGGTTTTTTTTTTTTTTTTTTTTTTTTTTTACAATCACTCTTGTAAAAAATTGACAAGTTCTTACAAAACTCATACACATGGGTGAAGTTACAATTCTCTATAAACACCTAAGATTTGTGAATGAGGCGGACAAGCTGTCTACAATGTAGCAGCGTTTGGCAGTTAAGTGTTAGCAATACTTAATAGAATCACATCAGCAGCGATAACAGCAACAGCAACAACAGCGAGATTACTTGTTATGAGGGATCTTTAAGCCTGATTATAGTTATTATAGCGTTACTAACCGAGCGCCGCGCTACGCGGCGGTCATTAAGGTTTAGTTCTACTTGTTTTGGCCTTCCCGCCTACGCTACGCTTCGGCAGGATAATAATTTTAAAAACCCGCCGAACCCCTATGTGCCTAAATAGATTTGTAAATTTTATTAGTCTGGGACAGTATCATGCTTACCTGAATAAAAATAGTTATTCTTATGATCTTGAATCAAGATTCTTGATACAGTATCTTTATTTTTGTTGGCTATCACTGTATCTTCAGCTTCATCTTTCACCCAAAACCACCTACACTTGAAATAACATTTATGCAAACGCTACACAATATGTTTAGTTTAGCGTCGTGCTCGATACCATGGGTCGTTTCTGAGCAGCTAAGAAACTTAGCTCGCATCGATGCAAAGGATAGTAATGGTTTGTCCAGCTTTGCACTAAATACCCGCTTGTACTACCTGTTTAATCTTGTAAGTAGCTAATCAATGAAAGCTAAAACATATTCAAATTTGTTAAAGCTAATGCATTTAGCGCTCATTTTGTGCTGATTCAGAATGAGTCATTAGACACTCTAATCGGTGCCAGTTATGATTAAAGCATTTTGGTAATGTGTCGCAAGACGCCTTGCTGTTGTTGCTGTTGACGGTAGTGTTTTTTTATTAAATAGTTTAGCGATGATTCCAGGATGGTTAAACGTCATTTAGGCTCCAAGTTTATAAACGTTTTTTATGGGGTCTACTTAACCAACTATATTTTTCATCTCTCGTACTGTGTTGTTGTCTTACCGCTTCAAGTAAATCGTGTGCTACGCTCTTGTCGGCGACACGTCCTCCCGTTTAGTAGTATCGGATATTGCTGTCTAAACAACTAAAAAATCAACGGTTTACAGGAATAACAAATCTGAGTTCTTTTTGCTCAATTTAAAACTATATATCTTTGTGGCTCAAGTGACAACGTTTATTGGCAGCGTTGTTCTCACGGCCAGCTCTTACAGCAGCTTCTGTTGTAAATGTACAACGATTTGGCAGCTCAGTCACTCTCAGATAATTTATTGATATTTCCACAAGAAAACAGCTGTAGTTATTAAAGTCACTGTAACTTGCAAAACTATTAAGTTTATAGTATTACGTATATTATAGTATAGCCTTAAAAAACATGCATGCTTACGTGTACGCTTCTTTAGGGGCTATTTGATTTGAGAATAAGTAGCTCTGCTACGCCCTCAAATATTAAAAGCAACATGCAATATTATATAGTAAATCCCTTCTAATATAAAAAACGGTGACGCCTCCGGATAATGTTATAGTTTTATGCAAATCTTCCGTGAACCACATGATTTTATTGATGTAAGCTACATAATTCAGTTTTAACCAATCGAAGCCGCCTTCTCCGCTCGGCAGGGTAAAAATCCGAGCGTTTCGTGTGAAGGACGGACGTTGCACCGTTAGTTTAGGACTTGCGCTCTAGGCGCCCGCTCCGCGGACGCTAGGGCATGGTTCGTTGGTATAGAAAGGGCTGACCACCTCCGCTGCGCTGCGGCGGGCTTAGAAATTTTTAACTCAAATTAGAGCTACATGAGCTAAACGTACACTGTGTCCTACCAATGTTGTATTCGCAACGACCCTCTCCACAACACTCTTATTGCTCCCATTTCCGGTATCACCGACCTACAGCATTCCTGATATCTTTCCAAATGTTACTGCTTACAGCCCCACATAGAGATGCATCTGCTCGACAACCGGCAGGTCCAGATCGTCAAATTAAAAATAGACGTACAACTCCAGATCATTACGAAAAGAAAGACTTTTTCGTAGGCACCAGGGTTTAACGTGATCCACATAATGAATGCCATCTACCCTAAAAGGCTTCGTCTGTATTATCGTTTAAACGCTTCGCTTCCGAAATAACACCACTCCGTGGTACACTTAATTGCAAAATCAAAATAATTCGCAGAAGGTAAATCACTATCATTGGTGCTCCAAAACCTCCGTATAAATCGATGAGAAAAAAAAACGAATCTTAGCGAGATCAAATACACCTACACAAATATACTAAGACACCGGGTGAATGGAGCAATAAGAGCTTCTGCATCTTGGCGCAAGGAAACCGCTACCATATCACTGATTGCGATGGTCTGTCAACGCAATATTCATCTCCGTATGTCATTAGCTGGGCACAGGCGATACAGGCAAGTTGACTGTGCATCTCCTAGCAGTAGTCAACGCGATAGATACACGCGCGGCGAGTGCACCTTATAGCCATCCGCGACTCAACTGAGCTCTTATCTCGATCATTATGGACAGGGCAGCTGCGCGTACATATATATCGACTTGCCACGCCCATCGGTATGGTTTGCACTACCACACACGTGCTCGCACCTTCCGAGACAGCTACTTATTTTTGTGGTGAAGTAGAACACACACATACCGTCAGATGTGGACTCCTTACACAAACCACAGCAAATCACCGAGTTAGGTCGGCGGTTGTATGGCCTGCGCAGAGGGTGGCCCCCTCGCGGTTCGGCCCAGCTGAGACAGACATGTGGCTCGCTTCCACTCGGTTCCGACTAACCAAGTCAGAGCACTTCCGAGGCTCCGCCGATTTGGCTCGGCCGAGCTCGTTCACCAACCCTGTACCCCCCACCAAAGGATGGACGACGGCGCACGAGCGCTTTTACAGGTCACCGAGCGCCGAGGCCGCTCAGCTAGAAGTGTTATGGCACCCGGGCTATCCGACGTACCGGCCCGCTGGGTTTGCGGGGCTGTCTTTCGCGCGTAGCGAGACTTTGCCCTACCCGGACCGACCTAATCTCTTGACGCTACCGGTCAATACGCTACAAGCTATGCCTCTCGAGTATCAACGGCAGGCATAATCTAGCCCTATGCAGGGTCTTACCGGAAGAGTGTACACGAATCTTGAATTGAGAGTATGCGTTCGAAGCTTGTAGTAGTCGAGTGTTAAGAAGATATGAAATCCGAAAGTGAGTTTTATTGAGTTAGTTGTTCTTGTCGTGCTTTGTTAGCTCCTTTCGACTTTCCTCCGTAGTCCTCCTTATCACATGTAAATCCATACACAAAATATACATTTTGTCGGCAACGCCTATACTCGTCATAAGCGTTGGCGACGAAAATCACTTGAGTTTTATAAGTGGACTGGATATGCACGAATCCGACCCTGGCATTAACCATGTCAATCATTTGGGATCAGCCAATCAGATAGCTCCATTCGACCCACTTCAGCTTATGACCCCTCAGGGCACACGCTTGCCACGCACCAGCCGCGTGTCTAGAGGTAGGAACCCAGGCGACGTGACGGCGAAGTGCAATAACAGCACCCCCACACAATTCGACGTCTCGAGCTTGACGACCAAATTGCTCTTTATCATCAAGTAGCGTAGCGTCTTCGACGACAGACCTTTGGTAAGGAAGGCCGCGAGCTGGTTCTTGGTTTCCATATACTCCAGCTCAACTTCACCACTCATAACGTTTTCACGAATGAAGTGGTAGCGAATGTCGATGTGCTTCGTACGAGCTTGATAACCGACATTTTTCGTCAACGCCATGGCACCTTGGTTGTCCTTGTAGATCACCGTAGCCCCCACTTGTTCAGCACTAATGTCCTTAAGCAGTAGACGCATCCACACCACTTCCTTGATGCAGTCACTCAGAGCCATGTACTCGGCCTCAGTCGAGCTTAGGGCGACGGCCTTCTGAAACGTGGAGCGCCAAACCACAGGTGCCCCGCACATCCTGAGCATTGTCCCGCTAACCGAACATCTGTCGTCGCGGTTGCCAGCCCATTCTGCATCCGAGTAGGCGACGAGCTCTGTTCCTTGCGAACCGTCGTACACGATGCCCACGTCCTTGGTCCTCAACAGATAGCGCACCACCTTGATTCCAGCATACCAGTGCTTCTCACCATGGTTCTCCAGGAAGCGAATCAGCTTGGCAACAGCAACCGAGATGTCAGGTCGTGTGCTACACGCCAGGTACATGATGCTACCAATGAGCGATCGGTACGGCCTCAACTTCATCTTAGCCTTGTCTTCATCGGTCTCCGGTTCGTCCTCCTTAGTCAAGTGTAGACTTGGGTCTAGTGGCATCAGGCTTGGCTTCGCGTTTTCATGACCGAACTTTTTAATGATCGACTCGGTGTATGCGCGTTGTGGGATGCCACGCTTCTTGCCATCGATGTCGTAGTCGATCTCGATACCGAGAATGAAACAGGCGGGTCCTAGATCCTTGATCTTGAACTTCTCAGCGATGCCAGCCTTTACCGACGCGATGACGACCTTGTCTCGTGACGCAATCAGCATGTCGTCCACGTAAAGACACACGCTGCACTCGTCATCACCTGCACCTCTCGTGTAGATGCACGGGTCAGCGTCAGCAGCCTGAAACCCCATGGGCTTGAGATGGTTGTCGATGGTCTCGTTTCAGGCACGAGACGACTGCTTGAGTCCGTACAGACTTTGCAGTAGCATGCAGACGACATCATCTTCACCATGAGCCTTTACCCGTGCCAGTAGCTCCCGAAGTCCTTCTGGCAACTCCATGTAGATCTCATCTTCCAGCTTCCCGTACAGAAACGCTGTATCCACGTCGCACTGCTCGATGTCGAATCTTTTAGCACAGCACTTGGCCAGCACTGCCCTGATTGAGTTCAGGTAAGCCACAGGCGCGTACGTCTCTTCGTAGTCGATGCCCTGTCGCTGTGAATACCCCTTTGCCACGAGACGAGCCTTGTGTCGAATCACTTGCCCCTTCTCATTGCGCTTCAATGCGAACACCCAGCGGCAACCGATCGGGCGCTGGTGCGTTGGTCTTGGCACTAACTTCCAGGTACCGCTGTCCGCTAGCGACTTGAGTTCACTTGCAATCGCTTTCTTCCAGCTGTCTTGGTCCGCACTAGTAGTCGCCTCTGCGTACGTCTTCGGTATATCCTCGGTGGCAGCCATCAGCTGTTCACTCTTAACAATGGTGAGCTCGTTACGACTTGGCCTCGGTCGCTCTTGAGTCATCTTCTGACGCTTTGTCCCACTCGACGATGGCGCATCGACAATTTGCTTCTTCCTGTTGCTTGCCTCTTCAGGATCCGTTGTCTCGTCAATGTGCCGAACACGCGAACGAGTAATCATAGGATGTGTCGAGTCGTATATCACCATCGCAGTATCCATGCTCACGTCACGTTGAAGTGGAATCACGTCAGTAGCTTTAACATCGGTGGGAACGATTCGCGTGGAGTCAATCAGCGACATCTGATCCGCGCTTGGCACCAATGCGTCTGTATCGTCTTCTGCATCTAGGTGAGTCATGATGCACGCAGGATCAGTTGTCTCAATTAACTTCACGGTGCACACGATTTGCACCTTTCCTGTTGCCCTGTTGAGGACGCGGTACCCCTTCACTCCGTCCTCGTAGCCCATGAACCGACACTTGAGCGCTTTTGCATCCAGCTTGCGGCGCTTCTCGTCGGGGATGTGAGCGTATCCCAACTGCACAAAACACCTTCACGTTCTTGAGTTGTGGCTTGGAGTGACTCACAATCTCGAAGGGTGTCTTCACATTGACCGAGTTGGTGATCCGATTGATGATCCAGGCCGCAGTGCTAACTGACTCTGCCCACCACTTCCTGTCGACACTCTCATGATAGAGCATGCAGCGAGCCATCTCCATGATGCTCCGATTCATTCGCTCAGCTAGTCCATTCTGCTGAGGTGTGTACGGCACCGTCTTCTCATGCTTTGTGCCGCTGCGGTTGAGGTAGGTATTAAACTCCCGGCCCGTTTACTCACCGCCGTTGTCCAAGCGCAGGCGCTTGATTGTTTACCAGTTGCATTCTCTATTCCGGCCTTGTACGTTTTGAACTTCGACAGTACTTCCGATTTGGCCTTCATGAAGTAGACCGTAACGTGTCGTGAGTAGTCGTCAATGAATATGACAATGTACGTTCAACCACCAGGTGTCGTGGTTTGCATCGGACCCATTACGTCCGTATGCACCAGGTCGAGCACACCGGCACTCTTGACGAGCTTCTCCGGATGTCTCGGGTAGTCGTCAGCCTTCATCTTGCCCATGCAGCAGCCTGCGCACACGTCGTCCACGTGGACTTCTCCCGTGCCGCGAGGCACTCCTTCTGCCATGGTCAGTAGTTTCGCGTAGCGCTTGTACGGGATGTGGCCAAGTCGGGCGTGCACAACAGCCCATGGCTTCTTACGAGTAGTCGTTGCAACATGACACACCTCGCCCCCCCACTGTCTTCAACTTGTAGATATTTCCACAGCGCTTCGCCTCCATGGCGGTAGCACCACCAAAGCTAAATACACACTTGGCCTTGCTAAACTGCGCGGTGACGTCTTTCTCGGCCAGCTTCGACGCCGAGATGAGGCTTCCTTCAGCTTCAGGGATGTACAAGACATCCGACAGCGTGACAGACGTCCCGATAATCAGCTTTATGCCGACGGTGCCTTTTGCCACTGCGTCGATCTTCGTGGCATCCGCGATCGTGATACGGACTGGCGTCTTCAGCTCCTTCATGGACAGGAACTTGTCCCGGACGCTGGTCATGTGCGAACGGAGACGCTCGGTGAGACTCTGGACGAGACTCGCTAGCTCGTGTTGCTCCTTGGCAGTTTGACGGACGAGTACAAGCTGATCAGTACTGTCCTCGAGAGCACGCCGAACGTGACGTTGGCCTACGCGATCCAAGCAATCTCTGGTGTTCAAGCCTCGGATGAATCGTCATCGGCTCAAAAGAAAGCTTCCGCTACGAAGAAGAAAGATTTCGGTGGCAAGCAACGTTTCAAGGACAAGTGCTTCTACTGCAAGAAGCAAGGGCACCGAGAGTTTGAATATCGTAAGAAGACGGCCGACGAGGAACGAGGGCAAGCGGCGCGAGCGAAAGCGTCCGACTTCTCGTTCATGGCAACGAGTGCGATGACCAAGAGTGAATGGCTCGTCGACTCAGGTGCAAATTTGTAGGACGATCTACTTGAACGGATCGACGTGGGAAGCGAACTTGGTACCAGGATCCATCTTGAAGTTGTTCAACTTCTTGGTGACGAGAAATCGGTTCCTGGGCGTATTTTTGTTGAAGTGCTCCTGGAGCATTGTCTACGCCTCAGCGGCAGTCAGTGCTCCACGGACGTAAACTTGGTACGTGAGACGCACGTCTCCAGCGATAATACAAAGTGCCTTTAGATCGTTGATCTTCCATTCTGCCGTGGGGCGATCACTCACTTGGTCGAACTCGGGCTTGATGATCTGCGGGGACAGACCCGTCCGAGCAAGCTTCATCCGCATTTGGAGCTCTTAGTGGAAGCATCTGTCTTCCACGACCTTGTCGATGTTGTCGGCGTATCTTGAGCGCATAACCAATTGAGAGTATGCGTTTGAGGCTTGTAGTAGTCGAGTGTTAAGAAGAAATAAAATCCGAAAGTGAGTTTTATTGAGTTAGTTATTATTGTCTTGCTTTGCTAGCTCCTTTCTACTTTCCTCCGTAGTCCTCCTAATCACATGTATATCCATATACAAAAGATACATATCGTCGGCAACGCCTATACTCGTCATAAGCGTTGGCGACGAAAATCACTTGAGTTTTATAAGTGGACTGGATATGCACGAATCCGACCCTGGCATTAACCATGTCAATCATTTGGGATCAGCCAATCAGATAGCTCCATTCGACCCACTTCAACTTATGACCCCTCAGGGCACACGCTTGCCACGCACCAACCGTGTGCTCCAGGCGCGTAGGAACCCAGGCGAAGTGACGGCGAAGTGCAATCACAACAATTCAGAATTAGTCATTTGATACTCGATTCAGTGCCAATTATGATTAAAGCATTTGGATAATGTGGCTTGCTGTTGTCGTTGTTGATGGAAGTGTTTTTTATTTAACTTTTTCGCGAGCGAAGGGGCAAAATGCCTCTATCGATTTGTCCACGGTACTATCGCTACGATTCCAAAGGGACAGTAAGCCCCGTTCCATAGCCCTACTGTACTACCCGACTTGTTTAATGATTGGTTAGAAAGATATTATTACTCCAGCAATTTCCATGAAATTGTTACTGTCACTCGCATGTGTGTTGGCTCGGCACAACATCTATTTGCATGTTTTGCTGTGCTTATTCGCAATTATTAAGTGTTCGCCACTGAGATCGATGTATCCAGCTCAACGCTGGCGCTTTTCTAATTTTTCGTTTTGCTCTCAGAAACATTTACCGCGTTCACTGTTGCGGTGAAAGTAGTCGATTGTTTGATCAGGGTGCACTTAAGCATTTATGAGCTTCGTCCTGACTTCGGCTTTTGTGCTTTCAGACTAGCAAACCCACCAACGCACCGACGACGTCGCTCCAGCAGACTTTGGCATTGCTAACTATCATTACTTGCAACGCTTAGTACCAAATCGAATCATGAGAGTAAAGCGTGTAAATGACTTGAGCCAAGTATGGATGCTTACACATACACTGCAAAGAATGATACTTGTATCAAATTTTATACACTACTCAAATTGCTATGATAAGTTTTTGTAATCTCTTTAAGGAAAAGCTACTACAGCCTCCGTATTCTGATACTAGTTCACGATGTAGCGAAATGTTAGGAACCATTCCCTTATATATCCTTTGGACTTCCCTCCGAACGACTTATTCAAGTATGGTGGGCCGGTGCAAGCGAAGCTTAGAGAGCGCACCTGTAGATTCAAGCAAGCGCACGAGACCTAGGCGAGGTTCAGCGGCGTGTGGAGCAGAGGGTACCACTCGATTCGATAATTCAATGTTCTTCAAAGCCGTTTGGAAAGAGCTTCGCGAAGAAGGATGGACCTCAAAGCGACCCCCACAAAATGCGCTGGACTCGTTCTATCGCTACATTCGCCCAGGATCGGATTTAAAGGGCAAGGAGGGGAAACATTTCTTCGTAAGAGAGGAAGCACTGCTGGCCTTTTATCTACGTGAAATTGCTTTATCACCAGCCACCCGTAAGTCGCTATGTCCTATATAAAATATTGACCCGATTGCTTATGCCTAATGAAACGCTTGGTATCACCCACGCATGTCATCATTCGTACAATGAACGGCAAAGCAAAACGTCAGCCACAAATTCTGAAAATGCGGTATTCGGAGGAATTTTAGCTGAAGAAAGCACTCGTAATGGATATACGATGGATAACGAGGGATTGGACACCGCCAAACAGGTTGTAGACACAGAAGAAAGGATTACTGTGATGGGAAATGCCAATAGCGAGAATGAGCACCTTAGTTGTGGTATCCAAAGTGCACGCACTTATCGGACGCAAATGGACGCAACGCAATACAGCCAAATAAACGTGGGTGCTGACAGCACGGATGATGCTAAAATGAATAGTGTAGCCGCTATGGCAAACGAGGACATCGAGGGTCGTCACTCAGGTAAGTACATGCATCAGTAGAATTTTGTATCGAGTTTCATGCTGTCGTTATGACAGGAATTTTGTTTTACAAGTTATAAATGGGAATCATCGACTGCCAACTCTCGGGGGGGGAGGATTACATCTACCGGCAACCAGTCGGAACACACCATGGACGAGATTAATACAAGTCCAATATCAAGAAGTGCCACTGGGGGTGCTTTCGAGTATGTCTCCACCACAACCGGCAATACTTCGACAGTACAAGGTAAGTGGCGCTTGCTTAGCTACAATCGGCTCTGCCACCTCACAGCAGTTTAGTTTTACACTTTTACCTCAGGAATTTCTCGCTCGAAAAGTCGCATGCCACCACTATCTCCTCTACCATCGCACAGACCAGCCGGAAGATCATCAGTTGCGTGTGTCCCCTCACTTTATGTGAACACGTTGGTTGCGTTCACTCCGTCTAAGGAAGTTGGATGAAAGACAAGGTTTACAAGAAAGTTGGCGCAGCTTATATAGTCGGACGGGTATGTTGCACTGTGACCTAATACGAAGCCAGGAAATAACCAGAAGGAGCAGCTCGGACGTAAAAAAACCCGACACCACTTCTCTTTCAAGTACGGTGGATTGATTTTCAATCTAATTCGGTGGATATCTCGCTCGGCATAGTACAAAAAGGTCATGCTAATGATGGCGACTACAACGTCACGGCACTGGCAACATCTCTGCGAGGCGACTGATGATGACCGGCTTGCAATTACAGACAGCCTTGAGGAGCTACAAGAAGCTCCGGTTCAGTACAGCCCCAGCCAAGTGATACCAACAAGCTTTGCGGAGGTGGAGGCGAGCAAACCCCATGCAATTTGACCCGAAAGCGCACATGGCACAACCTGGTGATCTCTTTACATGCGACGATGGAGCGACCGAAACCAAGCTTAAGGATGAGTACCGATACATTTTTAATCATTCGACTTCAGCGAGCTTTTTTGCGTATCTCCCTCTTTACTTCTGGAAACAAGTTGCTTTCGAGACCAATGCATACGCAAGCGCCAATCAGATTTGCATCGGCGAGCCGTTCAAGTTACAAGAATGGATGACCTTTTTGGGAATACTGTTCGATATGGAAGTTACGGTTAAGGGGGAATATGCGAATTACTGGGGTCGCCAGGCAGAAGAAGACATATTTGGAGGTACTAGTATTGACTTGAGGCATGTGATGCCGCTCAAGCGGTTCAAGTTTCTTCGGCAATCGTTTTCATTTCGAAGTGGTGTCTCAGTGGATGACACAATGCGAGACCCTGCTGCCCGTATTCGCACATTGCTGAATGCTCCGAAAGTTACGGGCGGGAAGTATGTTGAGCTTGGTCGTAATGTTGCTTTGGATGAAGCGAGCGTTGCCTGTAGAAGTCGATTCGGACGCCACCTTATCGTTTACAACCCACGTAAACCCGGTGGAAAGTACCACTTCAAGCTGTACATGATGTGCTGCGCAACGTCATGGGTCGCTGTGAATTTCAGACTACACTACGAAAGTATTCTCGAAGATCGTTTGCAAGGCGTGGTAAATGTCCTCCGAGTCTGAAGCTCTCCGCGAAGAGCTTTCGCATGGAGCTGCAATCCGCCAGATCGTTCTTGAAGTTGTTTGACCAATCTACGATTCTAAACGGATTGTAATACTGACAATTATTACACGTCATTACAGCTCCTGCAAGCTTTACAGCTCAAAGGGTTATTTGGTCGTGGTACAGTACGGGGGTCAAGCAAGCACTTTCCTAAGCACGTTATGCTGGAAAAAAGTGATTGTACAAGAGGAGAGTACCGCAAAGGGGTTTCCATTGACCACAATATGTTTGGGGCTTCATGGTGCGACGGGAGTATTGTTAGCATAGTCTGAAATGCGGATGCGTCCGAGTCAACCACTGTCCAACGTCGCGTGTCCAACGAGCATGAACAATTCGAGGTACCGGATTGTGTGAAGAACTATAACACCCACATGCAGGGTGTTGACCGGTTAGACCAGCTCCGTGCACGCTTCTCTATTGCCGACGGCCACTCGTTTACAAAATGGCACAAGAAGCTCGCTATGACTTTAGTTGATGTTGCTCGATGTAACGCGTACCTTACCCGCCGAATGGTGTATACCCTAGTATATACCCGGGACCCTCACCGTGCTTTCATGTTGGAATTGTTTTCTGAATTGATTTCCGGTAAGTGGTCCAACGCACCGAGCAAAGGTAAGATTTTATACTCAAGCCGCAGCATGGCTACGTCAGAATTACAGACACCGGCTTCAATTAGTCCCGCTTACACTGTTAGCTCTCCATTCGAGAGCCCAAAGAAGACGTGCACTGCAGTTGCATCAAAACAGTTTTACGATGGAAAAAACTGCAAGCGCCGGTGTATTGTGTGCAGATGGGAAGAACGATATCCCACTGAAGTCACGGACTTAAGCGTCATTCATGGTGTGTGCCTTTGCAAGGCATATTTTGATTCACTACCCGCTCCATACATGTGTCCCCAAGCCACGTGGACGTGTTGGGAGAAATACCATCGGTACTACGCATACAAGAATTTGTTTTCGAGTAAGTAGAAGCTACCCAAGACATCTCAGCTATTCAAGCTAAAAGCAAATTTAAATCAGGTGGGTGAGATCAACGGTAATGAAAATTCTTCGTAGTCAGACAAGTTTTTCTTTAGCGGGTTGAACACGCTGCCTAAGTTGAATGTTAATTTGTATTTCTGTATCTGGTTTCTCCAGTGTTCGTGCCTGTGATGATTTCACAAAATATCAAAGATAGTAGTTAAATATTCTACCACACTCAGTCAATCTCTTGCCAATTAAACGCGGTTTGCCAGACGTACATAAAGATAAATACCGAGTACCATAGATCTGTCGAGTTGCTGAGAACTTAACTGCCAAAGATCTCTTTCACGGTGATATGCATTGACACTTGAATCATTTCCACGATCTGCGTAAACCACTTCCGCACCGATAAGCGCTATAGTCTTAGAGTCGTCAGTGGCGTCATATACGCGTAGAATCCCTGTCACGATGACTTCTCCCTTGATACCCAACGTAGCGTGGTGGAAAAGCCAACAAGGCTATCACCCAGATGCGAAGCTCACTCTAAGCTCACTCTGGAATAACGTACATGTTTACGCTGTCAGCAGTAGCTCCCTTCATCTGCACAGTGGCAATAAACGTGTAAATAACTTAAATAAAGTAAGCAAAACTGCATGTGTCTGTTGTATGATGCATCCAAATGATTGTTTCAGTTGACCAGTGTAATTAATTTAATTAAACTAAAGATTCTTTCCACTTGCATAATGCATTGACACATTATCCCTTTGGTCTTACCAAACGCAGTCATGATCACCGATTTCTCCAACGAAGCCGATAGGCTCTTAGTGCAGTACGCCTGGAAATATGCGCAAAAAAAAAACGTGTTGTGTGGGCCGATCTTGCGCGAAAGATGCAACGGCGTTTGCGAGTCGCCAAGAGCCCGAAGACGCTGGAAACTTGACTTCGAACACTAAAGCGCGCTCACGGCAACGACCTTCCTCGTTTTCCTCCATGCTTTTTTTTAAGTGACAATGGCTGGTTCACACTCCACTAGCTACGTGAAGTCTCGGACGACAAGTTATCCCGTGTTAGACTTTCAAGCTACTGTACGTCTACTTCAGTCGGTATTTGGATCGGTCACAAAAGCTGATATTCGTCAGAGATCTGGTGTACTTCATGAAAATGCTGGCGATCTCCTACCAGAAGCTTTATTCAACGTAATAAGGACTATTGGGCCAATCGCTGCGGAAGATGTATTTCTCGATATTGGCTGTGGAATTGGAAACGTCGTTGCTCAATTTGCACTTCAAACAGCCGCCAAAAGCTGCATTGGTATCGAGATTCGTCGCCAGCTCTCTCTAATAGGCAACCAGCTCGTCCAGAGATCCTTAAACGTGCAACCGTTGCTCAAGAAAGTGTTGCTATTACAGGGAGATGCGAAAGAGGCGTCATTATCATTGCTACAGCCTTTTTGCAATGCGTCTATTGTGTACCTTAATAGTTCTTGTTTGCCAACGATGTCAAACCTCCCGTGTTGGGCGAGTTATGCGCGCTTCCTCGTGCTCGTATCGCTGTTTCTACTGAGACGTTCTGCATAGGCATCGTATACCATGCAGGAACAGCTTTTGTGCAAAATGGCAACTACATCAAGTAATTAGAGGTCAAGCAAGTTGGACGATTAAGCCTGTAAGCATCTATATTTACCAACGAGCGGGCACACAAAAATAAAACGTACTCGCCACTTTTTTATAAGAAAGCCTTCAGCCAGGGTATGAAGTAGCCGGGCTAGAATTATAGATCCGCGATCGAGCGCACTGTGGTCTGGAAATCGATCGTCAGTAATTTTTGGGACGCGTGTCCCCTAAGAATCAAGAAGGTCCCGCGTGCTCACTCTTCTGGATACCAAAAGCCTCGCTGGATTTGCTAAACCTACAGCTACGCTCGTGCTCATGGCGTTCAAATCGCGTTTGATCACATGCTTGTACAACCATACGTAGCTAAAGCGCGTAGCGTTGTCGCCCTTCTTCACATTCCAGTCGGTCTGCTCAAATATTGGTATCGTAAGAAATATATCAGCACTATCCAGTGAAGAACTATCCTGAATAATAATTGCCAATCCCAACTCCTACCTCTTTCAGTTGAAGACCGAATAATACTCGATCTGGATGTCAACCTAATGCAATGTACTTACAGCGATTCATTTTAAATGGCCAACAGTTGCTGTAGTCGCGCTCGAATATTTTTAAGGTAGCAGTCCCGTTCATCCTATCCGCACCGTGGCAGGCTTTGCATGAAATCTAACAAAAACGAACATTTTAGCATGCATCAACACGAGATCGTAACAAAATGTTCACCAAAGCGTTGCCGACAAGTGTTTCCGCACTAATACTAAACGAGCTACCACGCGATTCGGTTGCAAGTGGCATTTCATCCAGGTCGACTTCGTCATAGCGTTATATTTTAATCGTATAGTAGCTAAATTAGCAAAATGCGTACCACTTAGACGCACGAAGGCACCTCGAATACAATTACTGCTTGCAGCAATTAGTGCTCAATATAAATATCGTACCTAACCACAATTAAGCGCCAACACCCTTGCATACAAGTGATCGCACAGAAGGGCTGACAGAAAACCTGGTTTGGCGTCCGAGGATACGGTGCTTGTATGGCACTTGGTGCTAATGGTGAGAATATTGCATATGTTCTCACACTCTCCATCTATCAAAGTGCAAAAAAACCACGCCACAATATTGAGCGCCGAGTTAGTACGATATTGGCACGTCGTACAGAGCAACTCATCTGCGCGTCCTAAGGACACCAAGACGCTCTCGCACTACTAAACAACCACGCCAAAACACAGAGCACCGTATCAGTACTATTAGATCCCGGCACGTCGCACAAAGCAACTCACCTGCGCGGCCTAAGGACACCAAGACGCTCTCGCACTACTAAGCAACCACGCCAAAACACAGAGCACCGTATCAGTACTATTAGATCCCGGCACGTCGCACAAAGCAACTCACCTGCGCGTCCTAAGGACACCAAGACGCTCTCGCACAACTAAGCAACCACGCCACAACACATAGCACTGCATTAGTACTATTCGATTCCGGCACGTCGCACAAAAAAACTCACCTGCGCGTCCTAAGAACACCAAGACGCCCTCGCACTACTAAAGAACCACGCCAAAACACAGAGCACCGTATCAGCACTATAAGATCCCGGCACGTCGCACAAAGCAACTCACCTGCGCATCCTAAAAACACCAAGACGCTCTCGCACTACTAAACAACCACGCCAAAACACAGAGCACCGTATCAGTACTATTAGATCCCGGCACGTCCCACAAAGCAACTCACCTGCGCGTCCTAAGGACACCAAGACGCTCTCGCACTACTAAACAACCACGCCACAACACATAGCACTACATTAGTACTATTCGATTTCGGCACGTCGCACAAAACAACTCACCTGCGCGTCCTAAGGATACCAAGACGCTCTCGCACTACTAAACAACCACGCCACAACACATAGCACTACATTAGTACTATTCGATTTCGGCACGTCGCACAAAACAACTCACCTGCGCGTCCTAAGGATACCAAGACGCTCTCGCACTACTAAACAACCACGCCAAAACACAGCGCACCGTATCAGTACTATTAGATCCCGGCACGTCGCACAAATCAACTCACCTGCGCGTCCTAAGGACACCAAGACGCTCTCGCACTACTAAGCAACCACGTTAAAACACAGAGCACCGTATCAGTACTATTAGATCCCGGCACGTCGCACAAAGCAACTCACCTGCGCGTCCTAAGGACACCAAGACGCTCTCGCACTACTAAACAACCACGCCACAACACATAGCACTGCATTATTACTATTTGATCCCGGCACGTCGCACAGAGCAACTCACCCGCGCGTCCTAAGGACACCAAGACGCCCTCGCACTACTAAAGAACCACGCCACAACATAGAGCACCGTATTATTACTATTTGATCCCGGCACGTCGCATAGAGCAACTCACCCGCGCGTCCTCAGGACACCAAGACGCCCTCGCACTAATAAATCACAGCACAGATCTTCATGGCAGTACAAGATAGCATATGGGCCCGGCACATCGCACATACCAGCTCACCTGTGCGTCCTAAGGACGCCAAGACGCTCTCCTACTACTAAACATAACAGATCTCCATGTCAGTATAGGATACCATGTTGGCCCTGGAACTTCGCACAGCACAACCCTTCTGTGCGCCCTAAGCACTGGCACCAATGCTCGTTCGCGCCAAAACTTGTGCGCCCCACGCTGCTCGTTAATTTTGTCGGAATGTAAAAAAATTAAGAAAATATTCGACGTCGCTTGATTTATAATTTTTTGGCCAAGTTAAATGCCACTAATGTGAATATGATTGGTCAAAATATACGAAATGGGGCAGAATGCCCTGTTTGGCACGCCGTTTTCACACCCTGCTACGATAAATTTGTCAAAGAGGGCATATTGCCCCCCTTGACCGCGAAAGGGTTAATAGCTTAACGATGATCCAGGATGGTTTAACGTCATTTAGGCTCCAAGTTTATAAATGTTTCTTTATGGAGCCTACTTAATTAACACCTCTCGTGTTTTGTTGTTGTCGTATCTCTTCAGTTACAAACGTATCCCACGCCCTTGTCGGCGACTCGTCCGCCCGTTAACTAGTATCGGGTTTTGCTGTTTAAACAACTCTCTGAAAACAATGGCTTACAGCAGTAGCACATATGAGTTATTTTATTCAATCTAAACTAATTATCTTTATGGATCAAGTGATAACGTTTATTAGCACAACGTTGTTCTTATGGTCAGTTCTTACGGCCATCTTCTGTTGTACATGATCTACTAGTTGGCAGTTCAGTCAGGTACCTCACACTCAGCCGTTTTCTTAATATTTCTACAACAAAACCGCTGTAACTTTTAGTTAGTACTATAATAGTTTAATCCTTCGTAACTTGCAGAAACTATTAAGTACACAGTATTACTAGTACGTCCTCGCAAACACGCATTCCTACGTGTACGCTAAGCACCTTGCAGCATTGGAAGCGTCTCTAGGGGCTATTCATTTGAGAACTATTATAAACATCATGAATTATTAAGACAGTTAATAGTTATTTAAACGATGCCTCCTTCGGATTATGGATAGAAATCTTCATATGTACACTAGATAACAAAACCAAGTGGTGGATATTTACTAAATCACTGCTCTGGTTTGCAATAGATCGAGTCTATTATGATTAGCTTGTCTTTTTGAGCTGTAGGTATAGTTTATTGAACTATCAGCTCATCGATGGCGAGCTCTAATGGATAAGTATTGTTCAGTCATCAGTATATTTGCGATTAAACTGTGTCACCAATTAGCTCGCTACGCTTACTGTCTGACTAAGTCTTCTCAAAATCCTACTGCAAGCTCGCCGACGAGAACGACGGTGAGAACGACAGCCTCATTCGGATGTTTTGGTCAGCACCTTTAAGTGCCTTTAGCTACGCAGATATAATAGGGAGGGGGGTGAGGGGCAAAATAACAGTTTATGTCTTACAGTACATGGTCTGTTAATCCGCTAAATTATCAGACTATCAGGTATTTGCAACACTACGGCGTTGTGATGTTGTCGATGCACAGCACTGGAATCCGCAATTTATCGCGAAACATTCCAGCACAGTATGAGAGGCAGTTGCAGCCAGTGGTTAGATGGTTCAAACATTCCGTCAAAATGAGTACGTGTAGTCCGAGAATAGCCATCACGCATATATTGTGAGCCCGCGCATGCCAAACACTATTTTTCACCTCGGAGTCACACTAACTGCATGTGGCGAGGACGCCCGTGGAGAGGACGCTATTGCTCTGTGCAATAATAGAACTCTATAAAGTTAATGAGAGACAATATTTCAGATTTTCAAGCAAATGCCCTCATCTTTATTTTGTTTGAATCAGCGCGAAGAGACTGCAGCTCCGTTGAAATTTTTCATGCACTTGTCGATGGATTATAATTTAATGACTTCCTAAGCTGCGAAGTGAGGATTTTCATCTAATTTAACTCATGTCGAAAGCTCGTCTTGCCTTCAGCGGCCTAGTTCTTTTGGTTGAGCGTCTTTAATGTCAACAGGTTTGTCGTTATGCATAATGGATTGTCACCGAGCGCTGCGTTATGCCTGAGCTGTTCATCGTGCTCTGCGTTATGACATTGCACTCCATTGTGGAGAACTTGTTGGATGTAAACTAGCTTTTAGCCTAAAAGAAAAATGTCATGTGGGCCAGACTGGTAACAATTCTGGATAAATATTTGAATAATGATAGGGTCTGAAACTGTGATTTGACATGTTTCCTTCAATGCACCCGGCGACACTGCATGCTAGCATCCGGGTCGAGATAGTGGTTAATTTGAAATGGCTGGCTTGGGTTTTCGCAGTGATTTATTTTCTTAGCTGCAGTGCTAGTACAAAAATGCAAGGACTTATTTCCATGGGACACTAAACACTACCAGCGAAACTGGTGCGAGACAACAAGAGTGGCATGTATGAAATGCTACAGCAAAAACAAATCCTGTTCTTCTTTCACATTCTTGAGTATCATCCCACAGAACTCTAATGAGCACGAGGAGGTGGCTCCATGGCTTCAGTACACGACTACTGTCTCTTATCGTACCAATCACCAAATTGTTTGAAGAATTTCCACCTGGAGCTTTGCTGATCCAAATTAAGGCCATCGAAAATAAAGGCCGTCCTTACGTCATCGTATTTTCTTTCCAGTTTCTCGAACGCTTTCAGCTTCGCTTCACTGTTGCCCAAAAGATTTTTAAAGGCTGACTCCGAAGCATCTTCGATTCTACCGAAAACTTTGGTAAACCATCCTCGTTCTTCCGCGGCAACAGACTCCGATTCGTAGCTGGGATAGTTGGCGCTCTTCAAGATGCTTTGACGGCTTGCCTCAACACTCGCTTCGCCGTGATACTACCAGTATTATCAGCAGAAGAGGTAACTAGCAGATCGGAGTTTCCGCTCAGCATCTTGACCTACATAGCCTCTGAGATAGTGACCACGTTAGTGAAGAAAGCGAGAGCTACAAAAAGGAGGGTACAGCGGAGCCTGGAAAGTGCTAACATTAGAGCGATAGAGCACTCGCAGCACTTGAGAGGAAGCGGGGAAATTGGAAAGTGATAATTCGGCCTCTTGGAGGCGAATGGTAGACGACGTATGGTAAGGCTAATATACACATGTAGTTCTTCTAAGCAAATGCATACACTTAAGTACAGTTCCAAAGCGTAGCTACCAGAAGCCACGGGATTATCCCGGGGATGTCCAACCATCAAACTACACCATGTTTAGTGTCAACCATCATACTATGATGGTTGGTACTAAACATGGTTTTGAATGATGTGTTGAAGGGATGATTTGCGCAGTGTTGTTATTAGTAGGGCAGTACAGCTTGGAGTGAGGACAAAAGTAGAGTGATCCAGACGGCCATAGTGGAAAGGAAGTATTGAGTGTAGAAGGAGAAGACGCTAGTGTGGTGAAGATGGTCAAGAAGAAGTGAAAAAATAAGAGAGTCTGGTGTTCTGAAGAGGATTTATTCTCCACCAACCAGTACAGTTAAATATGATTTCTCTTCATGAAATAGCACAATTGTTTTCCACTAGATAGTCATCATCACATCGGAGATGCATACTTCAACAGCCTCCCACATCGAGGAATGTGTATGATGCTCTATCTGTCCGGTAGTACTTAATGCACCACAGGTGGCTGTTCATAGTCCTGTTCGTACAAGAACATTTACAAGGAATAGATCATTTTTAGATTGATGAAATTTATTCATTGATTTCTATTGTCAGATCTGTCGTTTTGTTGCTTTTATTCTGGCAGGGACTCTGCTGATTTCTCGTTTATAATTTTGGCTACTCAGGAAAACCTTAGAGGATTAAACCTGTTCACCGTAGGAATTGTTGTTATTATCGTTTTAGTTAAACAAATTTGTAGAAGCTACTTCAGGAAAACCTTTAATTTTAAGGAACAAAACCTGTTCGCTGTATTGACGGCTACTTCAGGAAACCTTTGAGGATACACCTGCTCACCGTATCGATCTTTATATTTTTTGTGTAAGCGTTTAGCTTTGTTCATTTCTTAAACTGCCATTGTTTTGCTCCGCTAGCGATAGATTTGCAAACTATCGAATTCATTGTAGATAGAATTGATGCTGTAAAACCATAGTTTGCTTTCTGTAGACGGAGGCTTTTGTAGGCTTGTCTTGTAGTCATAAAGTGCTGAATATTTTTTCTATTCTTTGGTACTGTTTTACTGAAAATGTTTGAAGCTTTTGCCAGTGACAATGAATGTTAAAGTTTGGCGAATGCATGAATCATTTTTGGCATTTATGCCTCCCAGTTTCATACATTTCTCAAAATATTTTTCTCGAAACGTTTGGGGTAAAAAAATTCGTCGGCAGCCTTTGAAATTTGCAATTTTGTATTTTAAATTGCACGTTTGTTTTGATCATTATTTTTCTTTTGTGAATGTAGCATAAATAGGTTTTGAGCAGCTTAGGTAACAATGCTTGCAAAAATTAAAGCAATATTCCCAGTAGAAACACACTTCACTCACATTTAACCTAGCTCACATCTTTGGGGCATTTTGCTCCCTAGTGGCTCGTCGGGTTGTTTCCGGATTTTATTATAGTTCTTTAGTGAGAAGCATGCACACTATTAAGTCAATTGACAGATACATTGTTCATGCAAGAAAGTGTCATGCGTAGATAGAGGTATTGTTACCATATCTGTACTGCTTAGGGAGTTTGCCATTCATTATCTGTCAAGACATTTTACGGCAGAGGCTTATACATTTTTGTGCTTGCCTTTCATTTGGGCGATAATACAGCCCGTATGCTTTGCTGATAGCAGGCTTGTTACGCAGTGCGTAATATAGTGGGCGATATTACAGCCTGTATGCTCATAGCGGGCCAATGCGTGGGCGACATTTCTGCCCATGTGCTCCGCTTATAGCGGGCTCAATATGCAGTGCTTATCATCGTGGTCGCAATTACAAACCAAATGCGCCGCTTATAGCGGGATCAATACGCAGTACGTATGGTGCAAAGTCCAGGGAGATTTTCCTCTAGCTCGATACCGCGTGGCAGACGTTCTGCTCACCGCGCGCAGCT